CCAGCAAAGTACAAAAACAAAGAAAAAGTTTAGAATATAAGCTTAGTAGAAAGCCTGCTATACATTCTCTTGTAAAGTTTCTTGCAGTAAAAGACAAACGAGAAAAGAAAACAAGCAATTTTTCAGCAGAAAAATGCTACTTACTGAGAGACTAGACAGCAAAGAAGTGAGGTTGACAGACAATTGTTCAAGTGCCACTCTTGGGGGAAGCATATTATCAATATTGACAGTTGCCATCTTCATTGGGTCACCTGATTCAGAAAGAAAAATCATATCATATTATGGACAATTCTGAGAGCATGTGACATATCATCATTTTCCACAAAGACTTGTAAGTAGCATAACATACACAAAACAGAGCTTAGAAGATAGGGGACCATGACATGGAGTCCATCGGGCATTGCTTCCAATAAAGGTAACAGTGGCTGCAGCTGTGAATGGCCAAATGACGTAGCTACATGATGGAGAAAAGAACAGACTTCCTCAGTGTCTCAAAGAAGACTCATAGCCGGGAGAATATGCCCAATTCAAGACTTGCTTGCTAATCTGAAAATTCACCTGGATTCACTAATAAGACTACCAGGTCGATGGTAGGATTATGAGCAGCCACAGCAAGTGCCAGGCAACCTCCAAAGGAATCCCCAACAAGATAAATGGGCTTATGTGGAGATGAGGCATACTCAGCTTTAACAGTTTCCTCGACAAATTTCCCCAGATCTAACATGTGTAGATACAACATCAAGTTCTCAGTTAGTCTTGCATGCTATTTCATTTCTTATAGCATTAGTTGAGTATTTAGAAGAAAGTCCTCACCATTTAGAAGGCTTGTAAACCCACATTTAGAAGTGTGCATCATTACCAACATCATAAGTTTGAGAAAGAACCACAGGGATCGAGTATTGATTATAGCTTGAAGCAAGGAGTAAGTATAATATCCATGCATGTGGGTCTAAGCGGAGTGAAAAGTGAGAATTGTAAGATGATATGAATGCACCGCTGCCCTTTGCATTTTTACGACACAGCTCAAAAACATTCCACTCCACCGTAAGTTGATGTCATCTTGCACAGCAATTAAAAGTATTTGAAAGGGAGATACCTTCAAATGGAGTCCGATCATGGACAGGGATATGCAAGCATCGAACTTCAAAAGCCCTGCAGTTTTAAGGCTTCTGCATTACAATTCTTGGTCATAAGTACAAATAGAATCACAGAAACAAACACCGCTTTTTGTGCATCATTACTTTCCGTGGTAACACAATTCACAACCCCAAAAAGATGGCATATACAAACTCACCTACACAGTGCTTTATGGTGCAAAATGAGGCCCAATCCAGTGCCATCAAGTCCTGCAGGAAACAGTACTTATGTATGAAAAATTCTGCTATACTAGTATTGTTTTGCCTAAGATTCTCAAAATTAGGCTCCAATATAATAGAGTACAGGGGTATCAATGGATGCACAAGTACATTAATCACTTCGTAAAAGCTACAAGAATACTGTTGAAACTAGAATTCCAGTCATCTGCTTATAGCGCTGCAGTAAAATTTCCAGTTTTGCACCCATTTCAAGCGAGAAGCTAGGCATTACAGGGCAAAAACAAAAGAGCTGGAGAATTATTCAAAGGCTGTCCACACTCAACAGGGAAAAACCAACGAGGCAGACCTCCGTCAGGCCTAATCATATCCCTCGAGCATCAAGATAATCCTTCACAGTTCACACTATATGTTCCATAAGCATCATCCCACAACACCTCCAACCTTTCAAAACAGAGGTAGTTTCTGCTTCTTTCTCCACCTTCTTCTTCTTCTTCACCACCTCAATCTTAGAAACTTCATAGTCATTTCCTCCAGTCAAGGGACCAATTTTCTCTCTCTCCTCAACGGGGGGAGCTCCATTCAATATAACCAGTTCAGGAGATGATGACACTGTTGAGTCACCACCAACTGAACTTCTCGCTTGCACTCTACACAGTGGCCTGCATTCCCAATTCAACACTAAATAAGGCGACACCCGGAAAGTAACCAATGATGTCATAGCAGTGATACAACTATTGCACCCTTTTTTTCACTTTTCCAAACTCAGCAACCTAGAAAGTTTGAAATCCACCAAGAACTACACTTGTCAGAGAGCTCAAAAGTCCTAGGAAGTCACTAAGGGGCCTTGGGGAGTTCAGCCAGAAGGTTCCTTGGAACACTCTAAATCAGAAGAATTACGCATTCCATTCTTGGCCCAAAAGAAACAACAGAAAAACTGAGAAAGCATCTAAAATGCAAAAACAATTGAAACTTGAGGTGCACCCTCAAAGTAAAATGGTATCATAACACTATCTAGAAGATACAACTTGTAGAAATGCTATGTTTATCGGGTGGACAAGAAATGGAGCAAATAAAGTGGAAATTAATGTGGAATAGATTGCAGCAACAAGAGTACTGAAAGGGTTGATGAGAAAGAGAGAGAGAACAGAACTTTGAGAGGGAAACTATTGTTTGGAAGTTAGCTGATGTGGTTCTTTGTTGGCACTTGCAACTAATCGGATGGTTGTGTGGAGAGAGAGACAGAGAGAGGTTTCCATATTTCCTGGTAAAGCACTAGAGTGAGGGTGCAAGCATTTCCATTTTTTCTGGTAAAGCTCTAGCCTGACAGAAAAGTGTCGCAGGCCAAAAGTTTCCTGATTGAGGACAAGCCATGCGGTGCCTAATGAGCCGGATTACCAAACCAAACTTCGTTCACTAGATCATTTCCAATGAGAGTATGGCGAATCACCATCCTGTAATTAATTGTACCACACTCAATTTAGCTCATACATCTTGTACGTCAAGCGAGAAAGGCATATCACTTCGGCATAAGTTTCAGCCTGCTATGGCCTTCATAAATGGAGCGACATTAACTCCCGATCAGATTGTGCACAGAAGACCACCCTCGCCTTTAAAATTCCTCTAAGATTATAATCATCACATGTTTCCAGCACAAGGAGGCTTATCTCACCCTCAATAACTAGTTGTATCGACCCTTGTGTATCTCTCACACTTTACTACCGCAAAGCTCCACGTTTCAGTTCACTTTCAAGTGGGAAAAATCGGACCGTGACCCTAGATTCTGTCAATGTCCTCTTCGGTTATACAGTTCAAAACTGATTACTGAATGAGAAGCGCAAGGCTTGCTTGTTCTGGAGATATTGTCATTGCGGGTGTATTCACGTAAATGCCATTTTCAGGTGTTCTTTTCCTGAAGACATAATTCAAAGCATCAAGAGATGATGAGAAAAAGAGTAGAGCCCACCATGGCAAAATGAAAAGTTTGGACAATGTCACTTCCAGTTTCAAGTTTTTACCCAAAGACCAATATTGGGCTTCCATTGGCACAATTCAGTCCATGTTCACAATATTTAAGTTCCCTGGTCATTAGTTAACATTCTCCTAATATGAAAAAATACTTGTAACCAAAAGATTTTACATTACGAATAACATTTAAGATAGGAGCCAAAAAAAAAAATCTCAAACAAATGGCAACTGGCCTCTTTTTCAGTTGCATTAGACTATGATTCTTTAAAAAAGCCGGAGCAACAAAAAGAGAGTTCGCTTTAAATCTTTCGATATTGACTTAAAGGATACGGAGCATATTTATATGGTCTAGATATAACCTGCATAGTTAATTCTCCTCACATGCAAAGGATCTCATGTTTGGATCTGTCATCTGAATCTCGACTAACCCAAAGTTGGCTTTCCATCTTGAAACAAAAATTATTGATGCTAAAGAGGGCCTAAACAAAATAACAGCAAATGAGAGACATGAACAAGATTTAAGACCACTAGGTTGGCCTATCAATCAAACAAGAATTGCCGAACACAAGCTGGTTCTGTTTTTCGATTGAAGGCCAAAATTCATGTCATGCCTTTCCCTTGTCACCAAGGTTCTCGCACATTGATTTGGCCCCGTACCTTATGGGGAAAACCACAAATGTACGTTAGGCGAAGGCATGAACCTTGTCAAAGCCGAAAGAGCTATATAGTAAAAGAGCAGCTCCATGAAGTCCAATATTTTCTTTTCTTCTCTTTTTTCCAGTTTTTCCTAGGCTTGAAGATGCCGCCATCTGAATCCCAAGATGAGCCTAACTTCGTTTACATTTTTAATAAGATGATTGTCACTGTCGAGTCCAAAACCCATTGAGAAAACAACGTATTAAAGCTATAGCTCCATTTGTTTCGCGAAAAATAAATTATTTAAAAAGCATTTTCTTCTTAAAATAATCGCTTGTATCGCTTACAAAACAAGCATGACTTGAAAATATTATCTTCCATTGTATTTTCAGTTTTGGTATGGACCCACAACCCAACTCTCTTTTCTTTTCTCTAAAATGTACGTGGATGTATTTTTAAAGAAAAGAGAGTTGGGTTACTTTCTTCTCATATGACTTGTACTCGACACCAGTTTGAGCAAACATCGAAGAGCCAGGTGATGGAAGTAGAATCATGTCCCAACCCAAACAGAATAGAGACACCAGTACCTCGAAGGAACATTGAGAGAGAGAGAGGAGTTGCTGTTTCATACCAAAACTGAAAATGCAATGAAAGATAATACCATGCGCAGTCAAGTTGCAATTCAAAGAAATACATTCAGAGTCCAAAAATATGTACCTCCTCTCGTCTGACGCTTTTCACTCGCGTGAAGGAAATGTACTCTTCTTCAGATTTGCCATGAGAACCCTACAACAGTAAGTGCGGCCCAGATGCGACTGGCATCGGTACTGCCTCATCCACCAGTTTACAAAACACCCGCTCATGTATACTTGCGTTAATTCACACTCCATCCTACGTATTTAGTATGTCCCAAATAGTATTCTGCACCGTCCCAAGGAAAAACAGAACAAAACAGAAGACGAAGGAGAGGCAGAACCGTAACAAGAAGCCGATCTGCTTAGCCACAAGATCAATGACAACAAGAAGGCCACACGATCAAAATAAACTTGGGACGACAGCAACAATGTCACTCGAGCTTCACCATGAAAACAAGGCAAAATTTCCCCCTTCCATAGATTACATCGGAACCCTCTCACACTCGATCTTGTCATTCATGCTTACAGCACAAAGTAGCACAGATACATCATGAAAGGTAAAAAAGAATAGTAGCGATATGTTATATGAAATGTCCATTTCTCTATAAATGTAAGTTGTTTTATTTCAGGAACAAACTAACAAAATCACAAGAAAATTTCTATGGCTAGGGTTGCACCTAGCTACAAATCTGCAAAGATTTTGCAATCCCTAAGTCGGCTCTTCTAAGGAAATTTTCTCTCCCTGTCCAGAGTTCACAACTCCTTGAGCAAAGGCGTGAAGATGCATCCCATAATATATAGTTACGATGGCACATGCTCGTGAGCAGCTCAGATGAAGTTCATAATTGTAGTATGGGTAAATGGTGACCATAGCGTTCTCGCGCGTCGAGAGGACTATGCCAAAGTCAGCAATCAAGCGGTCCACAAATGTACAAAGACCCAGCACACTCCCGGCCATGTCAAGTTTGCAACAAATATCAAACTCCTTCCACCAAAATTTACCCTGGAACATATTCCACTGCGTATGCATAGCCACCCTGCAACTAGTAAAAAGTAACAGAATAAGATAACTTCATCCACCCCATGTAGTAGTTACTATTCTCTTCAAAACAAAAACTGGACTTCAAAATGATGAACAGACTATAGAATACAACACATTCAAGTATTTCTCGCCTCCTTTCTCGGGTGAACTAGCCTTAAATGCTGTATATATGATTATTCAAAGTACAGTATCCAAAAGTCCGTGTTCTGTGTTTTGAGCAGAAATAGAGGTTAAGCTGTTTATTAATACCACAGCAATACTTCACTTCAACTATCAAGCATTAGTCATGGAAAAAGAAGGATAACTGAACACAGACAAGAGCCAATCATTTTATCATATTTGTAGACCGTAGGATTCAAACACTGGCACCACGACCACAAGCGAGATCCATGTTTTGAGCAAATAGGATCAGAAGATCCATTATTATGCGAAGCATGAGGCCAGAACTCACCCTCTTGTAGGATCAAACCAGATCATTTGCCTTGAACCACCCTGTAGTTAAGAACCAAGTCTTCGGGTTTCTTCCAAATATATGCTCTGACAGTGGCTAGGCTCATGTCTGGGGACAACACCTGGAGAGAGCCAAGATTGAGGCAAAAGTTTATACCCAATCGCAATGTCAATAGCAACTAATGCAATAATCGGATCAAAAGTTGGTGCGAAGTCAAGATGTCGGCAAGTTGACAAGATTCTATCATTATACATCAACAAAAGCACAAAAACTAGAATAGATGTTCGCAACTAGTGTCACAGAGCAACACCACAACATAAATTGTAATAATGATACTCTAAATCCACATAACGCATTCAAAGCTCAAAGCAGAGGACTTTCTTCTGTCATCAAGAAGTTGCCCAAATTCAGGTACCCTTGATAGGGCAAGAAATGAGTCTGCCGTTTAAACATGCCTCACATCTAGGCATTGACCAACAACAAATGGATCCTCAAAAGATAAAAGGTCCATGAAGAATCAGATAGCGTAATGTACAAATTCCACCTAAGTTAGAATAGTGTTCCTAACAAAATCAACGAGCTTTAAAAGCCAAAAGGAAATGATCAAAGGATGGTTTCACTGCCAACTGTATATATCCACTTGCCTGGTTATTGCACAAAATCTCTATAGAAGGCCTAAGCTTCTGCCATGGCTTCAATCCAGACCGGAAAGATATGTCTCCGGCTGATGAATGTGGCAAATGTCCTCCAGGAGGAAACGTTCCTTCAGTGTTCACATTGTCCAGTGGTTTCTCGAGAACCATCTTCTCGATTACATAATTGACAACCTTCATAAACAATAAGTAGATCGTATCTCATTTCTGCACAAGACATCAAAGAAGATAGGCAAACATGGCATAACTAGTCCAGAAAGTATCATTGCATCAGTTCAAAATCAAGTTGTGCCTGGCTGGACCCAAGTTTATGAAAGTAGATCATAGGTCAGCGCTGCCATGCTAGGTCTCACCCCGCCTCCAACAGCCAATTCGTCCATAAGAGCAGCACATATGAGTAAAGCATATTTAACAGGATGAAGCATACTAACATGCAACACCAGCAGCAGACAGCCACATAAGAAAGATACCAAGTTATCCACAGTGAATACTGATTCACCTGGCTCAGAAGTTCCCCTCAGGTTTTGTATTTTTAAGTAACAAAAGGGCACAAAATCTTCGCAGCATTACTCATTTATCAGACCCAACAAGTGTTAATGCAACACATAACTAAGTTCATCATGCTCCATTCGATAAACTTACTTTATGTATCCTCAATATCCTAGGAGCGCTCAGTTTCCCTTGTGTAAGGATCTGAACAGTTGCACCTTCACACGGATGCAGGTAAAAGCTACACCTGTATAAATAGCATCAGACAAGCATTTGACATCATCTCAATATCAAAAGGGGAAAAAAGAACATTTTAGCATATCCATTAAGCATAGTGCAGCTCTTCCAATTTAACTAATTTTTGCTAAGAAAATTCTTCATCTACCTTCAAGCTAATGAACCGAAAAAAAAAAAATGAAAGAGAGGTTTCGAAAATTGGTAATAAATAGAGAAATGAACTAGAGAGCAAAAATAACCTAGACTGCCCAAGGAGTAGATGCAGAACCTCTGAATAGGTATCACAACTCTAGAAGATTCTTAGTTCTGGAAGGTTGTGTAGGACAGCTTGCAGAGCCAAAATCACCCAACCAAGTTTGAAATGCACAAGTGGCACCAAAAACATTTACATCGATAAAATCCCCCTTGGTTTGGAGGTTGTAAGCATCCATTCAAAGTTTTCTTTTCCCATTAAATCCAACATAAGGAGAAAGAATCAACAAAACATCCAACAGCAAACAAACAGCAAACAATTCAACAGATTTCACATCGGCAGAATTACATAAAAAAGGCCTGCACATAATCTATATTAACAAATGCATGACTACTAGTGCATAGATTGGTAAAAATTTTACTAATGGCTAGAACTGGCAGGTACACGAAAACGCACAATTGCTGTACATCAATGGTATCTTGTCAAGCAGGTAAAATTGATACACTAGTGGACTGCCGGGCACATAATGATTGATGACAGAAAGTTACTTGGTATTTTCTCTAGGAGGCAGGCGATTATTCAAGACACAGTCCAGACACCACCAAGGAAAGTCTTTTTCATCTTCAGTTCCATCTAGATCAGTAATTCTTTTTCTCCACGGACCTCCATGAGAACCTTCAGTGATGATGGATGGAGGCGAGACAGTTGGAAATTCGAAGGGAGGGTACACTGAGGAATCATTTTCGGCATTGCCATCTACTTCTATCCTTGAATGGCTAAGAGTCCTGGCAGCAACATCCCTCCCAGGTAATATATCGCCATTTGCTGAAGCCTGGGGCCCACTTTTTTGCCGTCTTTTGGTCAACCAATGAGCCAAGAGACCTTTAAGAGTTTCTCTACCTAAATTTACCTGCACAATTAAAATGTTTTAAAAAGAAAGAGCAGGGGCCACAATTTTCAGACAGTGCACCCCACTTTCACTACCTCTTTCCTCTCGGAACAGAATCAGCAGCACTAAACCAAACAGGGCTCACATTAAATGTGTACATCAACACTATTCAGCCCGAAGAAGAAAGATAATAATAGAGAAACCACTATCACTGGACAATATACAAGCATAATGTCTAACATACAGAATAGAGATAAGGAAACCAGCACATATTTCACCTTATCATCTTCTGGCTTCCCAGATATGTTGAGATCTACTGAATACATCTCCGCAGAAAAACATTGTGGAGTATCCAAATGGACAGACAAGCTACCCAGCCTGGTATCAATAGTGAACCACGGAGGAATGCTTACCTGACAAAGCACACACTAGTAACTAACCACCATCCTATAGTATGGCAGAACTACAAATCATAGGGGTAGCGATACGGTTCTTACCATCTCAAATAATTCTTCTTTTTTCTCCTCAAAAGATACCTAACATCAGAATATTATATCAAAAGCATCAAAACCATGAATTATACTGAAGGTACCGCACAGAAAGTGTGAAATCAATAATAAAAAAAATACAAGTGAAATTTTAAAAAGCCAATCGCAAGAATAACACGCTAAATTTTAAGAAATTAAGCTAAATCAAACTATGGAGAAAGAAGTCACTAATCCGACCTTTCCATAATCCTCCACCACAATGCCTCTTGTAATCTCCCATAGTTTCACTGAACCCACTGAATCCTATCGGGAAAATAAAAAGCCCATTAGGACCAACCATTCAAACAAATGCATAACAAACAACCGCAGCGACTATTAAATAGAAAAAAACAGGGTATTACATAATATATTCACCTTGGTCAACACATGCCTTCTGTTATTCAAAATTTCATGTTGCACTATTCCAGGATTACCCCGGATGGTAAGCTTCGGTTCTTTATATGCAGGAGCCTGTACCATTAACCATTCGTTTGTCAGTAATTCATAAATTAGATAATCGGACGCAGAACAATTGCCAGCAATGAGCGAAATGAGAATGCAAACAACAGGAGGAGATAAATTTATGCAAACTTCTCGAAGGAAAAATGTAATTGTCCTTTCTTAACTTTACAACTTCTAGTCTTACTTTAAATGTAAACCTGATAATTTAATACAAAAGGAATACCCATGTAAACAAATACAAATGTTGTTGAAGGAAACAAAACCAACGAAACCGCATATATCACAGGATAAAGTAAGGAAGAAATTTTCTTTCCGCGTTTTTCATATCTGAGCTTGCATAATTTTCTTCAATATCAATATGAGTTTTAAATGACCAGTAAAATGGCCACAAATCGAGTACAGAGCACAAAAAAATATCTTCTTATGAATTAAGAATCGATCAGGACTGGTTGCAGATTATTTAAGTCTAATAAGATCACACTGCAACTAAACCCACCTATATGAAGAAGTCGTGCAAATAACCTAAATTCATAAGGAGGAACTGAACACATCTCCACTCAAAGGTCGACATTCATAAGCATCAAATGCAAAATGACTACAACAAAACCATAGCTTAACTAAGAGTATGATATTTGCCAAATGGCAAAGAATGCATAAGAACCATAAGATCACAAGGCTGCAATTGCTAGGTTTCACAATCTCAGCCTCGAACAGAATCTTTGAATAATTAGCTAAGGTAGAAAGGAGGAGAATCATTTACAGGGGTAGATCCTTCTAGAGACACTCTTGCTCTTGAGAAGGACAAATTCCCAGCCAAGAATGAACCGCCTCTTTGAAAAACTTTTTGTGGGTTACGTCCTTCAATAGGCCATCTATGTACGGAAGAATCTGTTGTCGCAATCCATATACTGTCATCATGCAATGCCAATTGCAAGACAGGGTGTTCCTCCGTGCAAAGTAAAAGACTCTCTCTTGTTGCCAAGTCGGTCAAGTACAACTGCGGATAAAGACATCTAGTCATCACTATCACTATTAGAAATGCCAGCAGGGCATGCAAAAGAAAAGAAAATTTCATATTTGTGGTCAAAGATGCTCAAAGAAACTATACGCACCGACATGTCTCGGCCACCACTATAGACATGACTAAATGTCGGAGTGCTGGCAAGGGCCCAAACTGAATCAGTATGCACAGCATAGGAATGAATACATCGCTGCTGACCAAGATCCCACAGTCTAGGAGAAAAATGAACGATCAGATCAACATACCATTTACCTAAAAAAACCAGCATAAGTTTGCAATTTAAATTTTTCTCTATGACAAAAGTATCATATAGTTTACACCAAAATACTATTGGGACACAGTACAATCACAGGTACAAGATCTGCAACACACCACCAGAAGTCAACTGGGCTCTGCAACACACCATCGGATGTGCCAACTGCAAACTATATCAATGAGCTTGCTCTTGTGCCTCTCTGTTTCATTTTGATGAGCTCACTTTTGTGCAAATCGGTTTCAACCCAAGTGAGCAAGCTCATTCGGAGGTAAAGGGGAGAGAAAAGATTTGGTCAAAAGCCTATAGTATCTTACACCTAACCCAAAAAACCGCATAATACCAACAAAACAAATATACTACTAGAGAAGGGAGCTAGAGCCCTTATACCTCCCTTTGATTAGATTCCATACACTTTTAATTAAACCATGATATATCATCTCCCAAATTCTCGAGTTTTGACAGAGAAAAACCGCATGACTTTGCACATGCCAAGCTGCCAGAAGATTGAAAAACTATCAACTAGTAATTCTTGGATTACAAGAGAATCATAATTTATAGAAATGTATCTTCAACTTCAAGACTAATCAAACTCAAAAGAAGCATGTCTTAAAGACATTTCATGTTCGATCAAGGATAAAATGCAAAAAACTTGTTTAAGACGGTTTGAGAATGTGAGACAATACACTGAGCATACTCCAATAAGAAGTGACTTCCCAGTAGACTCGTGCTAACAAGGTTCAGGAGATCCGACTTGAATAAAATTTCTCAGATAGACTTTGATTGGCAGGACATGATCCCAGCGACATGATAAAGTCACCTACCAGTTGATGTTTTCAAAGCACATAAGAAGAATTGTTTGTAATAGTAGGCATTGGACACAGGCGTTACAAGCATGAAGTATATCTTTCTTGTCATCAAAAAGGGGGGAGATGACACAGACACAATAAAACAAATGATACTATAAGGACAAAATAAAATACAGTTCACTCTCGCCCACATAATAGCCAGTTAGGATACATAATAAAGTCCCCATCAACTATCTAGCCATGCCACTACTACCTATCCCTACGGGAAAGCAACATTCCGAAGCATATCCTAGAGTTCCAAAACATGAAGTTGTCATAACACCAACACCCTACGTCCACATGAATCAACATATCACAGCTATGACATGAAAGAGAAATAAAGGAAATCATATGCCCACCTGATCATCGAATCAGACGATCCTGATAAGCAAAACCTGCAAATTTGAAATACCAAGACTCAAACTTAACACAATTGTAATGAGAATAAAACATTGAGAAGGCATCTGCATCCAACAAGACAAGCCAAACTTGCAAGTATCCAGGACTGATGAAATTATAGACCGTCTCATATACAGCATGCCTCAGCAAAGATAAAACACACTATTTGCACAACTACCATAGACATACCCTGCTCCAACCGCCAGTCCTCCACAGAGAGAGAGTGAGCGAGCGAGCAAGCAAGAGAGAGGAGAAACAAAGAATTATAAGTATCCCGAGCCTCCTATTATCCCTTAAGGATGAGGATTGCTAAAAATGTGAAGCAAAACATCTACATCATTCCTAATTCTCCATTCCAACACAACCTTCTCTCCTTTAATTTGATAAACTAACACAAATCCTAATGTGCAAAATAAGATGCAAAATATCTCAAGGAACATCTCCATATAGAAGTCAATACTACGTAAAACTAACCGGCCAGAAGAATCAAGAAGTAGAGCTCTAATATTATCTGTGTGCCCTTTAAGCTTCATAGTCTTAGAACCACTTCTTGGATCCCAAACACGCACAACCTGAAGGAAAATCATATGATATCCGTTATTGCAAAATTTCGTCTCTATACACAATGAGCACTTTTCTTTCTGCTGAAATTCAGTACAAGCACTTAAAATGGGAACGAGCAAAAAAATCATGTATATGGAAATAAAATGCAGCAATTGATAATATATTAGAAGCAGTCTTAGTGATTAAAAAACTGAATTTCAAAGGCAGATACTCAACTTTGAGTCCCATTGGAATAGGCTCTCCTATAACATCCAACTACTATCAACTCTAAACTGAAAACCTCCAGTGAAGGATCATGACGAATTCTCAATAACCATCACAGACAAAAATATACCTTTTCAGTTCCACCAGAAACAAGAAGCGCTCCACTTCCATTCATAGCAAGTGCATAAACCGACTCCTTATGACCTTTAGCCGCAGTTGGAACATAGCCGGGAGACTGACTGGGGTGAGTAGAAATGCTGTTGCTTGAACTGATGCTACGTAAACCACTAACAGGTAGAGAATTCCCACTAGTACTGATGCCGTTGGAACAATCATCATCCATCTGATCACCAGACTTTGAGGCCGGGGCAAGTGCAGCTTCAAGATCCCAGATGAAGACCTCCCCACCAAGGCCACCAGAGGCAACAACATTGCTCTAAAATGCATGACACTACAGAACAATCAGAAACTGGCTTCCCTAATACATAAGCGGTAAGGACCAATGCTCAATTTGAACTTGTTCGGTCAAGACTTATACGGCTGCAGGTCAGGGGACCCTTCAGCATTATATCACAGAGATATTGTCAAGGAAATTACATTGTTTACTGCTGTAGCAAGACAAGTGACGTAGTCAGAGTGGTGACGAAGAGTCCCCGTACAAGCTCCCTCAGACAAGCAATTCCAGGTCTGTTGTTTTCAAAGTCACAAAGGAAAATGTATAAAGAAAAGACTAATCACAGAACTAAAAAAATCACTCAATATCACATGCACATTACAGGGATAACGATAATCAACTCGATATTACCTTTAGAGTTGTGTCTGAAGAACAAGAGACAAGGGTGTTATCACCCGCAAGGACGGCATCATTAACCTGCAAAACCAATACTTACAGATGTTATATTGGTTTTGTAAAACCATGGCATCATATTTACTGATACATTCTCATGTCTCCTAATCATCTTTGGGGGCACAAGGATGTCCAAGTACTATGTAAAAATTCAATTGCATAAAAAAATTCTAAAGAACAAACCCAAGTTAAACGATGGAGAACAATGGCAACAACTATTGAACACATGCAAAACGTGCGCCAAATGAGGATTTGCTGTTTATTTTCTTTGTTTAATCAGGAATTTCTCAAGTGATTGGAGTCAATTAGGATTTTAATAAGTTCCCTTTTCCTAGTTGGTAGTGGATATGTGTTTTACTAGTTTTATTAGGATATATAAGGTTTATTATTTCCCAGCTAGGAATATAGGACGACAAGTCCCACAACAAAGAATAAATCTTTAAACTTCACACGAAAAGCTTCCTAAGCATCACACCTAGGGTTTCTTAAGCATCACACCAAAGAGACGAAATGTATCACACAATTCCAAAGAAATGAAATTGCCAAATTCAAACAATCATCATCTCTATTCAAAAGAAGAATTACAACCATATATAAAGACTCTCTAAAGTATTGCTCCGAGTAAAAATAAGAAACCTAATATATCCTAATAAAACTTGGAAAAACATACCAACTATTAAATAGAAAAGGAAACATTAATCCAATTCCAACTAAGAAAGGGAAACTTATTAAAATCCTAATAGACCCAATCGCTTAAGAAGATTCTTGATTATTTAGAAAACAAACAGCAAATCTTTATTTGGCACGACTTCTGTAAGTCTTCAAAGGTTGTCGCCATTGTTCTCCATCATTAATGCAGAATCTGTTGATGAACAACCCATCCAAAATAAACAACCCAGGAACTAGCAACACATTTTTCTAGTTAAACCAAAGGAAATTGTCGCAACTAATAAGAAAGGGAAAAAAAAGACCTCACCCAATCGACATGTGACTCAAATGTAGCCGAGCAAGTAGCCGCGCTTTCGTCCAATGCCCATCTCTTCAAAATACCGTCACGGCTCCCAGTAAAAAGGTAATCACCCCCATCTGATGTTGACTTCCATAAGGCTAAACAATTTATACCTGCACAATGCTGCATTCAGAGAAACAACAACAAAGATGAGGTTTTAAAGTTGTTTGCTATAACTGAGTAAACAAAATTTATTTGGCATCACCAACAGAAGTTTTATTTTAGCATACATTATAATTGCATCTCTTTGTTACTAAGGGGGAAGAACTGCCCAAATCAAATGCAAGAAGATACAGTTGTCTGCAAACTCAACATTTGTGATGGTAATAGTAAGGGGCACACAAAAAGGTTCTCTAAAGAAACATTAAAAGACAAAGATTGAAACTAGGCATGCGCTCAACATGACATTTCTTGCTATAGTTGAAAATCAATATAACAAGTGAACATTACTACTAGTAACTCATATCTAATAAACAAAGCTCTTTGAGTTCCCAAAAAACTTCGTCTGAAGATGTCTACATTATGCCAACTGATACTTTTAACTCAAATTTTCTACACTCATAAACTAAAAATTCCATCAACTAGACAAATATGGGTCCAACCTAAGCAAAGCACAAAAATTGTCAAATTTGAGAAAATAAAACCCTAAAATGCATATCAATTAAAAGAAAGGATTGATGCTACTAACCTTTGAGTCATCTGCATAATTCAACACATATGTAAACCTCTTCTCTTTGCGTGGGCGGGTAGAACTGGCCGTGTTTCCTGCACTACCCACACGGTGCATCGCAGGATCCTCTGCAATTCAAAAACACAAATTATTAAATGGAAATCTTCTTTACAGTATCTTCTATGGTAAGCTTTTCTTCCATCCTCCAATATCAACTATAGTAAAATTCAAGGATGAATCTTGGAATTTTCTCAATCGAATCTGAGTTATGCATGAGAAATTTGGTTAAGAAATGTCCAGTAGTTGAACTCTCCAGACATCCTCTAGACTGGTGCCTTGGTATTATCTTTGACATACTTGAATACTCATTGTTTATATAGACATTTGAGAAGAGCACAACAACCTGGACCTTCAAAAAAAAAAGAGTCATCCAGGCTACCTATTCTACCACTGAAATCCAGTCTATCCAATGAAGATTGCAACAATCGTTATGCCGTAGAGAAGAGAGGAAAGGGAGCATAAAAGTAAAGCCTATTTTCATCTCCATGCAGCTCGGCTTCACAGTTTCTACAAACGTAGCAACATAAGGAAAGGGAGCAACTTCTGGAAAAGCAACATGCACAGGTGAACAAAAGACAAGTTTTCCTACTTATCACAAAAAAAAAAGGGAGAGAATTTTTCCCGTACTTGTTTGAAATCACATGATTATGTAATCAAAGAGCGTCAACAATTTGAAATTTTCAAGACACACACACACGGGGAGACCAGCAGCATCAATTTCCACAATAAAGCCATGCATTAGGAACTTCTCAGATTATGCTAAGTCTTCTCGATGGGTTAAAAAGACCACACTCGCTCCAGATTATGCGCGCAAAAACACGCGAACTAGAGCTCCACTCCGATGAATTTACCGTGACAGGCGACAATTTCGTCGTCCTCGGCGACCGAAGCCATAAAAAGACCCAGAGAAGAGATAAAAACACCGAAGTCTACCTCACAGACCCCAAACTCTCCAAAACCCAAAATCCCAATCACCCTAACCCTCCGCTCAATATCTTTCGCCGCTCATACAAAACCTCTCCATCCCAAACTTTCCTACCGCAGCCATTTCCCCACCCCCCCTCCCCCTCCTCTGAGCCACCGGCACAAAAGAAAAAAGAAAAAGGAAGAAAGAGAAAACGTCACAGCACGGCACACTCTTATCCCCGGCCTTCACTCTCCCCGCTCGCGCCAAATCCACATTTCCCCCCACCAGAACCAATCGAGAAACCAACTGATCTGCGCGCAGCGAATCAGGCCAAAACCGATCCTACGATCGAAGCGCCGCCGCTCGTCCGGGCCGAGCCAAACCCAATCATCGGATCAAAAACAAGAAGAAGAAGAACCGGCCGGCTCTCGCCGAGGACCGGCGGACGGCGGAGACGCGGGGGGAGAAGGTACGGCGCGGCGCGGCCAGATGCGGGGGGAGCGGGGAAAAACCCTAACTAACCTTCAGGCGGGCGACGAAGTAGGAGACCGCGGGGCGACCGTTTTTGCCGGCGCGCCGCTGGAGGAGGAGGAGGAGCTGCAGCTGCTAGTTGTCCTCCGATATTGGTGCGCGAGCGAGCGAGAAGAGAGAGAGAGAGAAAGCGTAGAGAGAGAAAGTGCAGCTGAGCTTGACACAGGAGGAGGAGAAGAGAGAGAGGGAGAGAGGCGTGAAGGCGTATCGGATTTATCGCGGGCGTGTCCCCCTTTGACCCGGTTTTTCGCGGAGATTTAAAGGCCGGGGCCCCGTCTCGTCTTTTCACCCTCCCCCCCGGTACTCGATCGTCCGCGATTCGGTGCCCGCGGGCGTAGGGTACGGTATCTTGCGCCCCGCTTTGGGTGGTTGGGTGATCTCTCGTTTTTTCTCCCCGTTCGATTGTCCTGAGCGCAAGACGTTATAAACTGTGCGGGGGGGAGGGGGGGGGGGGGGCGGGGCGGCAGCCTCGCTCATGCTCGGATCGGGATGTAAAGTAATTAGAGGATATTCCCCCCTCCCTTTAAGGAAGATGAAGATACCAAGGAGCGGGGGCATGCGAGACGCGCAGGGCCCGGCATGCTAAAATAAGGTGCGCGTCTGTGGAGTCGTTACCGCGCACTTGCTTCTGGGTGATCTCTTTTCTCTCGTTTGATGCTTGGAGAGATTTTTTTTTACCGAGCACGCCTCGCCTGATAAGGATTTTTACTTTAGGACGCCCTCGGCCGCGGCCGGTGAAGGGAAGCCGGGAAAAAAGAAAAGGAAATTTTTATGCCGTGCCACATACGTCCACGTCAGCTCCGGCCGTGCAACATTAGACAGTTTGCTCTGAGTGGGACTGCCATGTTAGCGGAAGGACTATGTTGACAGATCGTCAAAAGGTTTATAACTAAATTGGCCAAACTAAAAAGTTAGGGTTTGAATATAACCGCTCCTATAATAAGTTTAGAACTTTTCAAATGATTTTCTCTATTTTCAGAAAATCATGGTCGTCTTGTTAAATAGCAAGAATTAGAAATTAAATTATAGGATGCTCTTTTTAAAAATAACAAAAACTTTTCTTTATTTCAATTTGTTTTAGACATAGCCGGATGAATAGGCAGTTAAATGGATTTTCCTTTTCAAACTCCTTTACTTAGGAATTTGGACAAGGCGAATGTCCCTTTGCTTCTATGGGATATTCTTTCTCTCCTACGAAGCAAAATAGGCTTTTATTGCCGCCGGCTATTCCTTTTTCTAACTTTAAACCAAACATTATTACACTATACCAACTTTCAGACAAAAAAAAATGTGTAATTCCCTGAAAAGCCCCCCGAAACTTTAAGTCTAGTCTTGATTCCGTCTCGAACTTTTTCTGTCTAGAAAAAACCCTCCGGTCCAAATTTTCCCCAAACTTTTCTTTGTCTATAAAAAAACCCAATTTAAGTCAAGTCCTAAATTTGCTCCGAACCTTTTTCGTCTAAAGGAAAAATCACAAATTTTTACTCTAGTTCCCCTCTATCAAAAATCGTCATTAGTCGTCCATAATTTTCATCTCCTATAATAGTTTCATTTTGGAGATGATTTTCCATGTCACCATGGTAATGTGGATTTGTTATCGACGTGGAAATGCCACGTCAAGTTGGACTAGACCACGGGGGTAGATTTGATAATAAATTGAAAGTTTGTGATTAGAAAATAAAATTCGAGGCAAATTTGGGACTGGACCTAAAGATTAGGGTTTTTTCGGAAACAAAAAAAAAAATTCGAAGCAGAATTGGGAGTAGATCTAATGTTGGGATTTTTTTTTAGGGAATTAGGCCAAAAAAATGATACTGAGAGTGTGTTTGTTCTCACAAAAAATAAATAATTTGGAAAGTATTTTCTAAAAAGTAATTATTTGTATCGTTTACAAAAAATAACTGAATGCAAAATATTTTCATTTTCTATAAAAATATTTAAAACTAAATTATTATTGATAATGAAAATATTTTTATTAACTAATTATTTTAAACAATATAAATGATTATTTTTATGAAAATATTTTATAAATTATTTATATTTCGTGAAACAATTGGAGCCTAATACACATCACTCAATTGCAATAGAAGGAAAGTTGGATATCATTTTAAGAAAAATATATCTAACCCACTTATCTGGACTTTAATGGCGCCTTCTTTGATACGAGATATTTACAACATTTGATAGAATCAGGACTTATGGTTGGGAACGCTTTCCCAAAACCCTTGGCCAAATGCAAATATCCTCTGACAAAACTTTTGGAAAGATGCAACTGAATTTTTAAAGGCCTCTAAAGCCCTTTGGCTGAGGCTAGGTTCGAAAGTGCTTTGAGCTTTTAAGCATTCATAATGCAAATACATTTTTTTTTCCTTTCAATTTTACCCTCGCTCAACTTTTATAATTCCGAAAAAGTCTCTACCTCACGCAACCTCACCGGCATGGCCAAATCTGGCTGCCGACAAGCCAATCTGGTGTTGGCCAACCTCACCTGAGGTCGCGCGACCCCAGGCGGTGTCGCTTGGAGTCACCGCAACCCAGGCGACACCGAGGTCGAGCAACCACTTGACCTCAGGCGGTGGTCGCTCGGGTCACGCGGCCCCAACCAGTCGTGCAACCTTAGGCAAGGCTGGCCGACAGCTAAGTCTCGCAAGAAAGGTTTGTCAACTCTTTTTAAAAGAGCAAAATTAGCAAAAGTCCTTCACAGAGCGTGGTTTTTTTTCGAATGGTATTGAAGTCAAAATTTCTTCTCAATCTACTTTTAAATTACATTTTACCAAACACTATTTGCATTTTGAAAAACTTCTATCGCCTGAAGTCCTTTGCGTTCTCCTAAAGGCTTTCCCTCGAAGCCGAATTAAACGCGCCCTTAGATATTCAAATTGGATTTTCCAGACGAAAAGTGTATTTACATTCCAAACAAAACTCGTCTTTGAAATTCGAGTGACACATAAAAAAACCCTTGACTTTCGCTCTATTATCATATCTTCATATAGGGAAAAAGGAGAGGATAAGGCTACTCTCTGAGACCGGGGGCATACCGGCACTGACTTGTCTCCGTCCCTATCTCCATGACATGTCTGACTTCGTTGTCCAAGAACATCGTGCACATTAATACTTTCAGCGTGAAATGAAATATCTTCTAGATAGATTTGGCATCGTACACTTATTTCCGCCCAACACCATCATCTCTTTTCCTTATTATTTCTTATGTTTTTTGGTTACTAGAACCTTGCTGAGTCGGAGTCGCTACGTTACTCATCCTATGTAACCAAAACCAGAGACCGCTAGACGGTACCCCCGCCGGCCTTGAAGGCCCTCAAGGCTAGGGTAGGCCGAGGCCGGTCTGTCAGACTTTACACATAGTACTATAGAACAGCAACACCGATTGACTATTTAGACAAAAGGACTATGGAGGTTCTGCAATTAAGAAATTGTCCGTCTTGAGAATTGACTTGGACTGTTCGTTGGCATGGCTGAATGAAGCTGGAAAGCCTTGCTTTCTCGATCAGGAGAACACGAAGCTCGTCTCTCGAATTGCTCCTTTGATCAAGAGTTCGTGAAGGCTTTTCCAAGGAAAGAATGTCTGATTTTATGGCATCTTAGTTTCATTTTCTTTTCTTCAGAGTCGAACTTCATCCAAAGAGAGAAGGTGAGATGAGTAATCTCAGCACGAGTGAGGGGGGAAAAAAATCCAAGGCCGAGATCAATTTCTTCATATGGAAATAGAAAAATCAGTGTCAACGAATGACCACAAAATAAGCTAAACCGAACGTGTCGAGGAAAGAGTAAAAGGTGACCAAGCTGAACGTGCAAGACCCACCCACACCCTTGAAAAGCTATCTCTTTTATAATGAGCCTGATATTGACTAACACACCCGATAAACAAAGCAATGACCCTCTTGCCGATTGCGATAATCGTTACTAATCATCAATATATAATTCCCAGAGCATCATCGCTCCGAGGACCAAGTTCCAATTATGTCGATAAATAAAGGGTCCGCACGGCTCGAATCATGTATCACCAGCAAATACCTTATCACGAATAGCGGGCAAAGGACCGGAGCAATACTAGAATGACGACGGGCAGGAAAGAAAAATCGAACAATGATGCTGGCATACTATACTATAGCCGAGAAAAGAATTGACTAGGGAACGGTCCGAAGCCGGAGTAGTCACTGACGGTGATTCATCCAAGCTCGAAAGTTTCTTAATGCTCGGTCCTTACAGAAACACTGTACAAAAGCAAAGGTCCGACGACTTGAAATGATGCCCTGTCATTTCCAGCACACGAAAAGCAACATCTGAGGGTCCAGCCACTAATAATTACAGGGCCAACCGGGCTGGGCCACGAGCCATCTGCAGCACAACCCGAATTGAATGACATCTTTTCATCCCCTTTCCTGGAAATTTGGCAACTACACTAACTAAAGGCTGTGATGATATCTTGTGCGGATTATTAAATCATTGCACGTGGTACTATTTTCATCTTCTATGGTCAGACCTCTCGCGTCGAAGCTCGATAAAACAAATCGGTAAAAGAACTTAATGACAAGGATGTAACTGTAATTCATGACATATCTTGCTGTTGTTCAATCTCAGCTTAAGTATATGCTACTGTTCTAGCGATTCACATGTGGATGTCAGAAAGGAGAAGATACATTGGGCAACCTCTGTACAGTCATAGTCTCCTCCAGCTCAAAAGAGCAAAGAAGGCTGTGTAAAAATCATAATGCCGGTACACAATGAGAAGTAGTGACGCCAGCAGAAGAATTCTTCAGAGTCACCTCCAGCATACCTGCACCATAAAAAGGAGAGGGACACTCCCGGCACAGAACCGACATATCTTCTCCTTAAAAAAAAGTATGAACCGACGGTTACGGAGAAACACCATCCCTACTCATTCACGAATCACAACCCTCAAACTATTAACATGCATTCTCCTCGATAGTACTGGTAGAGTGGCTGGCATGCACATTCATATCTTCATAATTTAAGATGCACAACCCCTCTGAGCAGGCAACCAGCGTCCTCAAATCTGCAAAAGCATGACTGAGTAATGATAAATCAGAGTATTGGGGAACAATAAAAAGTATAACAGAGACAACAGTTAGATTGCATTACAAGCACTAGATGCTTTCAATCAAATAAGTGTCGAAAAAGAAGTCGCACCATGGAACTAATCAGTCTCTCAGTCACAACAGGAATTGCGCTTGGCAGGGACTGGCACACGCCATCACAGACTTACATCCCATGCTCCGCAAGATAAACAAACAAAAAAGGGAATCAAAAGGGGAAAAGAATCACAAGAGTCCCCTAAGTACAACTCATAACCTAAAGAAGAAATTCAACTAATAGGAATGGGAGATATAATGTTCGAGAAAACCAGGTCATCCTGTCTCTTCTAGCAAAAGAGCTTTATAATCATTGTAAATTAATATAGGCAAAAACACATTGAGTAAGACATAGCTGTCTATTGTGTCCTTACACTTAAATAACTGAATATCTGCCTGGTTGGGCTCCGCCCGGAAGTGATAGTGCTGCATTGGTGACGTCCTCCAAAACACGTTTCAATTCTGCTTTAGCTCTCTTGACAGATTGTTCGGTAGGACCTTCAATGAACAAGTAGAGCTTCCGCTCTCCATGAGCTGGTGGTTTGCCAGGAGGGAAAAACTGACCCCTGGTGGTAATGGCTGCACCAGTCCATTCTGAAATAGGGCCCAAAGTTTCCTTGTGGGTGACTTTCCACCGAGCATTCTGAGGAAAATCATTTATCTCCAACTCAGCCTCATAGTGCTCGGGCATGGCATCAGCTTGAATCTTTGCAAGATTATGCTGTAGATTGATGGCAGCTGCTATGGCTGCAGCACGGGCAGCCCCGTCAGTGGGCAAAACGGGCAGAGTCCCTGGTAGAACTGCAGAAGTTGTGGAACCAAGAATACTGGGAAGGGCAGCAGGAAGTACATTTGGTATCTGACCAACTGTGCTAGGAGTCACATTTGAAGCTGTGCTGGCTCTGGAAGCCGCAGCAAGGGCAGCTAATTGAAGGGCAGCCTGCTGTGAGATGTCACCACCTGCCTTCCGGACCCCATCATCATCATCATCCGAATCAGACTTGTCTTCATCAAAGCCATATTCTTTGGCCTGTGCCTTTTTGGCCGCTCGCCTAACTTCATCCTCCTCTTCATTGAACTTAAAACCACTTCCGCCATAACCAGTCCCGTGAGCTTGCTCAAGCCCCTGATTCACTTTAGCCATGAAAGCATCAGCAAGGGCTTTTAGATCATCAGGAACTACTTGTTCAGAAAGTTCCAAGGCCTTGACAAGATCTGGCGCATATCTAGCCTCATCCTCTGATATGAATGTTATAGCACAGCCTTTACGACCAGCTCGACCTGTCCGACCAACTCGGTGGACATAATCTTCATAATGATTAGGAACATCAAAATTAATCACCAGTTCAAGCTCCTTCACATCGAGTCCCCTGGCAGCAATGCTAGTAGCAATCAGTAAATTGCATACGTTGCTCTTGAAATCATTTATTGTGGACTCCCTGTCTGTTTGATCTTTGGCCCCATGAAGTGAAAGACACGGATACCCATGTCTTAGCATATCTCTAAACAAATCATCACATTTCGCCTGGGTATGAACAAATATTAAGATCTTTCCCTTCTCATACCATTCACCAAGCAATTCTAACAGTCTCAGGAACCTTTCACTTTCCGGTCTCACCTCGACTAACTGGGTTATGTCCTTGTTCACAACACTCCTGCCACCAACCTGAATTTCCACAGGTTTGTTCAAGACTCTACGGGCCAGAATCTCAACCTGACGAGGAAAAGTGGCAGAAAATAGAACAGTTTGACGGTCTGGACGGATATTTTGGACAATTCTAGTGATCTGAGGTTCAAAACCCATGTCAAACATTCTATCTGCTTCATCCATGACCAAGTATGTGACCCTACGCAGATTCGTTATCTTCCCCCCGCTAGTGCAAAGAATGTCAATCATCCTACCTGGGGTACAGACAACAATCTCAGTACCCCGCTTTAACTCGCTAATTTGCTGGGCAACACCAGAACCTCCATAAACAGGCACACATCTGACACCAATTCCTTTGGCAAACTTCTTTATATCACTGTGTATCTGCTGGACAAGCTCTCTCGTAGGTGCCATCACCAGACCGATTGGCCCATCTCCAGCTACAACAGGTGGCTGGTCCTTGATGTGCCTCAACATTGGCAGCACAAATGCAAGGGTTTTGCCTGAACCAGTTTTTGCAATACCTATGCAGTCCCGACCGCTCATGATTACCGGGAGAGCCTGAGCTTGAATTTGCATTGGCTTCTCATAATTAAGCTTTTTTATAGTCTCCAGAATTTTACTCGTGAGTCCTGTCTGGTGCCATGTTTTAATCGGTCTTGGCACATCTTTTCCATGAAGCTTCAATTCCAGCTGTTTTCTGTACACAGCTACCTCTTCAGCACTCATCCTCGAGATCTCCTTTACTTCAATATAAAAGTTCTTGCGAAATGGTTTATAATCAATCTTAGAATGGTCAACTATGGACAGTTTTTCAGCTTTTGTCTTCTTGACCCTTTTCATGAACTCATCATCATCTTCATCTTCTAAAGGATCTCCTTCATTCTCAAGATCTCCATGGTCAGATTCGGAATCCTCCCCCTGGATAATTCTTCCCATAGACTTACTTGGACCATTCCTCGCCAGTTTTCCATTACTAATATTATTTTTCTTATCTTTTCTCTTCATGTCTGAATTATCGTCAGCAGCAGTTGAAGTAGGAACGGCATTATTCAGCTTCTCCACTTCAGGTAACACCAAATCATTCATGAAGGCATCCAATGGATCAATTTCCTCATCTCCACCAGCACCATTTTCCCTTTCTTCTAAATCTGGAGCAGTGTCTCCATTCTCAGAATCCACCACCATAGCATCCCCAGTTGTATCATCAGTAAGTTCATCTTCGTCCACATCCATATCTGGTTTCATCGTGGGAGCACCCTCCTCATCGTCAGATTCTCCTTCAAGAGTCCATGCCTTTCCAGATTTTTCTTCTTCTTCCACATTCACTTCACCCCGCTTTTCCCTCTCCATCTCTTCCTTCTTTCTCCTCAGCTCCTGCCACTCTTGAACTCTTCTCCTCCTCTTTTCCATCTCCTCATCCAATTTCTTTTGCTCATCCTCTAATTCCTCCTCTCGAGTGGGCTTATCGTCTTTATTCTCTGAATCCTCCTCATCAGTCCTCCTCGGGCTATCTTCGTTGTTCTCACGGCGCTTGCTTCCCCCGCTCCTACCCTTTTCACGATCTCTTTCTTCATAATTTTCATCATCATCTCTCCTTCGACGTTTCTTGTCGTGCTCCTGGGAATCATCTTCACTATAATCACTATCAACTTCCCGACGCTTTTCCCTTACTCGTATCCTTCTCTCCCTCTCCCTCTCCTTCTCTCTCTCCTTCTCCTTCTCCTTCTCCTTCTCCTTCTCACGTTCCCTCTTCTCTCTTTCTCTACTTCTCTCCCTATCTTCCCTCTCGCGTTCCCTCTTCTCCTTTTCTCTCTCCCTCTCCCTCTCTCTCTCCCTCTCCTTCTCCCTTGCCCTCTCTCTCTTCTCCTTCTCCCTCTCCTTCTCTCTATCCTCTCTTTCTCTATCCCTTTCCCTATCCCTCTTCTTTTCTCTAGATTTCTCCTTCTCACGGTCACGACTCTTTACTCTATCCTTTTCCTTTTCTCTATACTTATCCTTCTCTCGCTCCCTTTCTCTTTCTCTCTCATACCTCTCATCAGAATCACTACTCTTCTCCCTTTCAAAACGTCGACTATCGCGCTCTTTCTTTTCCTTCTCCTTATCTCGATGTCTCTCCCCATTCCTCTCCCTTTCTCTTTCCCGATCATGATCATGATCTCGATGAGCTTTCTTTGATTCTGCCTCCTTCCTAGATTTATGTTTTAAATCCTCCATTATTTGTCCCTGCAAAACATGAACCAGCAGACATACTAAGCGTGACCAGATTTAGTTGTTTGAAAACACCAAAAGAGTCATAGACAACAATTAGAAGTTCAAGCTTGAACAAACTAATGTCACTAGTTTCAAGCTATTGAGAAAGGAAGTACACCACCAGCCAAACTTGATAATCACTATTCAATCAAAGAGAACATAAAAGGTGCATAGTCCATATATCAAATTATGTAAGGGGCTTGTCTACCGGTGGAAACATGCAAAATAAGGAGCTGAACTCAGGTTAAAAAAAATTATGCTAAAATTTGAACCAAGTCCCAAGCTGAACTACACCATCGTCCAGAGAGTAATGATGTTTGACAGGAACAACGTAATGTCCTATGTACTAGAATTCTAGAGGGGATAATCCCCAAGCCTTCAAAATTTTTTCAAGTGAACACCTTCTTCACAAGATTATTGCAAGCAGCTACAAAATTCAAGCCTTAAACTGAATATCGTTGAGAAAAATATAGATATTGCACCTGAGAGCTAATGAAGAGAGGAAAATTGGGAAGATTAAAATACTCATATTCAAAGAAAAAATGCAAATAAAAAGGAGAAATGGGCCAACTTCATTCTCGAGATTATTGGAATTTGAAATGGTTCAAATAAACCATAAGACGGGAGGCAATAATTAATTGATACAGGCAATTCAAGTAAACCCTAAAATCAGACACATCAAACAGTCAAAGCAATGCATGCCTCGGATTGAGCACACATAAGTCTTTTGATGCCGAAAACTGAAGCTCCAGTCACACTTAAAGCTCATGATTTCACACACTCTTTATTCGATTTACAAGATTCATAACCATCTTCAAGCCCTGAATTAAATGCCACGGAGCAGATAGAGAAACTCTACCAAAGAGCTAACGAATAGCATAGCATAGAAAAACAGGAAGATTATAGTATGAGTCCAGGATAGCCTTCGAAAGAGGAATTAAATTGAATGAAATGCCACGGTTTCCCCTCACTCTCTCGGGTCGACAAGCTATCTTTCACTTGTAGGCCGTCCTCCCTATCCATAAAATTTAACCTTCCTGGGGTAAACCCATCACCTAGTGCCTGTGCTAAAACTAAGCCAGTGCCCATGATGCCGCCCAGAAATGATAACCCAGATAAACTGGCGGGCGCCAACTATTCGCGGCAATTCGCCGCGAGCCGCAGAGCTAGACACGAATGACGAAACAAAGCGATTCAGCCACACAACCCACGCATCATAGCCCCTTCGAAATCCAAACCCCGCGGCTCAACCGCAGCCTTAACCTCAATCCGCAGCATGCTAATCAAGTTCTCGCCAGACGCGCGCGGCGGCGTCTCGTTCCCTCGATTCCAGCTCGATCGAGCGAGATTCGCGCGGGCCGCGTGCCCTAAGCGGGCGGCCGCGTCGCGCACCGTGGATTTCACCGAAGGAAAAAGCTAACGACGAGAGATGAGATGAAACAGTTGGGAGGAATCGAAGACTCACGAGCTACGCATGGAAAAACCGAAGCGGCGGAGAGAGGGGGGAGAGGGGGAGGGCCAAAATCGATCGCCGCCGCGTGCGGTGGCGGTTCCGGTGCAGTCGCGAGGAGGGATAGAGGGCACGAAACTGAAGACGGTCGAACGAGATTGAAGAGAGTAAATCCCTATTAAGGTGAGACCGACCGCCTATTGCAGTACCTTACAAATTTTTTCCCTTTTTCTGTTTTCGGCGATGAACTTTCGCAAAATTATTTAAAGTCCGGTCTAAAATTTTTTCTTTTCAATTGAGTCCTTCTCTTTTCCTTCTTGTTTTTTGGTTAATTTTATCCTACCATCGAATATTTGAACGGAACGCGAGAGCATTATATCAATGGCGATCGGGACTAACTGCTGAGATGAAAAAAATAAATATATATATGAACGAAAATTTGAAAGAGAGAGAGAAAGAGGAGAGACCAAGAACAAGTTTCGACTGAAAATATTAGGTGGGCCAATGTTGTCACGTAAACGAAATGACACTCCATTCATTAATCGCCACGAATCTAAGTGCGGCTCACGTTTCAGATTTAGTCTCTTCTTTACTCTCCTCCTTCTCCTTCTCCCTCCCTCTCGCCTCCTCTCCCTCCTTTTCGCTTCTTCTTCTTCTCCAGGCAGGTATCATCTATTTCCACATCAATTACAGCTTCGACACTAACTCCATCGACGCCTTCAACACCACCTGGTTGTCCAATCGCTTTTTTACTAACAGTCTCTCCTCCGTCATCAGTCCACTCATAAAATTTTCGTCCTTGCCCATGCCCATGCACTCGCCCTCACCCAAGCTGCGAGGGTCAAGCCCTCGCTAGATCGAGCGAGAGCAATCCTTGCCTCCGGCCATAGGCCAAAGGGAAAAAAAGGGAAAAGAAAAAAGTAAGGAAAAAAAGAAGAAAGAAACTGTGAAGAAGAAAAAGGGATTGATCAGTGGGGCCCACCTAAACACGTGGCGAGCGCTGAATGAAGTATCATATAGCTTACGTGGCAAAACCGTCCTACTTAGCTCAGAATCAACCTTTGGATATGATAATGAGAGTTTCGTTGGCACTGACCATTGCGGCGAGCACCGTATTTGCTCAGTTCCACAGGGTTCTCACCCAAAAACTACCGCGAAGATCAAGCGACCCTCCGGCCCTCCTTCTCTTTCCATTCGTGGGTACGACGCAAGTAAATCTAGTCTTGTTGCTCGAGCCTAGTGACGATCCGACCATCGCCCGACGAAATTTTTTCTTTTCTCTATTTTCGTCGTCAAATGGACCATTTCCAAGAAAAAAGTAATTCACCTCATCTGTAAAGTTCTCATCGGTCGCGCGGGACGTTAGCACGATCGTCGCATTCCCATCAAGCCTTTCTAGCGAAAAGGATCAAATTGAAAAGAAACACATAATTCGGTGGCCAAAATGGAAAAAAAAAAAGACAGAAACTAATTTTCCGCCGAAAATAAGGAAACCAAATTGTCCCCAAAAAAACAACGAACGGAGCGACAAAAATCCCTAGAAAAATCTCCCGAGCCAGCACCACATCCAGCTCGCAGCCATGGCTTCCCAGCGAGGCGGCGTCGTCATCACGGTCCCCGTCCTCGTGCTCTCCGTCCTCGGCGCCGCCGTCTTCCTCTTCTTCCTCTTCTTCTCCCTCTCCTCCTGCTCCTGCCCCGCCGCCTCGACCCCCGCCGGCGCCGCCTCCTCCGCCGCCGCCGGCGCCGTGCCCGGGCACGGCGAGGGCGGCGGCGGTGCTAGGGGCGGGATCAAGACGACGGAGGCGGATATAGAGTGGGTGCGGGATCAGATCCGGGCCAACGGGTTGCATATGCAGGACAACGTGCTCCGCAAGGGGATCAACCCTCGCACCAGGGCTCAGCAGCTCGAAGATCTTAACCAGTAATTTGCTTGTTGTTCTCTGCTGTGCGCAAGTGAAATGCTTTATGCTGTTGCGGTGTGCTAAGAGTGATCGTTCGTGTCAATGCGGGTGGCAATTCGCGTGTCCCGTGCTGCCATCTCGTTGCTACAGTAACTTGAGTCTTGACCAATGTGATCAAAATTTGATATTTCTGTTGCTCGGGTATGTCATGCTGAGTTCAAACAATGGTGCACAGTGTCTTGTCGGATTTGACGTATCTCCCGGCGGTTATTTTGCAGCTGCAGATGTAGTCTTGGGTCGTGCCATCATTTCGTGTCTTGAATTTGCAGCCTTTGTTTTGTATGAATGAATCTGTGTACCGGCTTTCGCTGAGATTTGTAGAATTAAGTTGGGAGCCTATATACAGTTGCATTTGGTTGCTTTTTCTTTATGCTTCGGCTCCAGAATATGCTTTTGACTGTATGTTCTTCCTTGATGTTGGATCTTGAACAGAGATTGATGTATTATAGATTGTTCCATTCTTGTTGATGTGAAATAAACTTGATGGAAGATTAGACGAGTTTTTATCTGAGACTTTGAAGTAGATTGTCATCTCCACGGGGTATGTCACACGTACTATTACCCATTATAGTGTAAATATGCATTTTTCACTAAGTAATCTCTTGCACCTGGTGGATATGTGTTACCATACATCTTCTTTTATTTGTATCATCGTGCTTTCAAAGATATGATTATTGTCTTCAAATATCCAGATTCAAGGGCATATCCCATTACGAAGAGCCAGATGCAAGCAACCATACTGCCCTTCCTTGTCCTGGGGAGCTTCTCGTCGAAGAGCATCATAGCTACTATGGTGAGCCTTGGGCTGGGGGTCGCGATGTGTTTGAATTTCTCGCGGAGGCTGTGCACCTTAAACCTGGCTCACGTGTTCTTGAGATTGGATGTGGGACGCTCCGAGTTGGCTTGCATTTCATTAGTTACTTAGATCCTGATCACTTTCACTGCCTAGAGAGGGATGAGCTTTCTTTAATGGCCGCATTCAGATACGAGCTTCCGTCACGTGGTCTGTTGCATAAACGCCCTTTGATTGTGCGGGGCGAGGATATGGACTTCACCAAGTTTGGTTCTGGAAGTACATATGATCTGATATATGCTAGTGCTGTGTTCCTGCACGTGCCTGATAAGCTTGTATGGGTTGGACTGGAGAGATTGGTGGGCAAGTTGAAACCTCACGAAGGACGCATATTTGTTTCACACAACGTAAAATTCTGCTCACGATTGGGAGGTGAGGAGTGTACAAAGAGGCTCACAAGCTTAGGGCTTGAGTATGTTGGCAAGCACACGCATGACAGCTTGCTCTTTAACCACTATGAGATTTGGTTTGAATTCAAAAGGTTTAAGGCTTAGAATATTGGGACTGTAGAACATTCGAAGCAAGAATGAAGCCTGCAGCATCCACCCATTTTTGCAGGGTATTGCTGTATTGCTCTTTGACAGATCCTGGGAGAGGCTTCACCATCCGGCGGACGATGTACAAATGCTAGATCGGAAGTAAACAGCTTTTGCAGCTTGACAGTTGAGGGGTTTGTACCATAAATTTGATCGTGATTTGTAGTTTCAATTTTTTGGGTCTTTCTCTCTGATCGTTGATGTTACACTTGAAGAAAGTCAATGGAATTTGTCGGGTCATAATATGTATCAGATGCTGGTTTATCATTTCATTGATCTGCCACACATGTATGCTGTCCAGCTATGAACTCTTTAGAATCCCCATGTGCTGTAGTTTCTGTCTCATGCGAAATGAGTTACTGAATTCTGCTTTGTAGTTTCAATTCTGTCTTCTTATTCCGACTCTTGATATCACAGTGGAAGTTGATAGAGTTTATGAAGATGAATGAGATGCAGATTTTGCCATTTATATATGCGGCATATTTCTCCTATCTGCCAATGAGACCTTTGAATCCCAATTCAGTGTGGTTTATACAGGTCAATGGGTTCTAAGACTCTTATAATCGGTGAGCCGTCGAGGCGTCCCTAGTATGTGCCATTTGGTTGAATCAGAATGCTGAACCATGTTGTTTGTCTTTTTCTTTTACAGTTTTGGGTTGCAAAAATTGAGAACATCTACTCTGGATCGTATTATTTAGGCTTGTAGCTTGTAGCCTACGAGACATTTCCCAACTTCTGCCGATGTGAACCACCCTCCGAAATTTTTGTTATCTTAATTAAAATATTGCACGAGCACTTTGCAGCCTCCAGTCAGGTACATCTCCAGATACCCTGATTCAATCCCTCTATGGAACCAGGAACGTCACTTCCTTTTTGCAGTCTGCATATCAGGCTGTGCATCTGAATTTCTTCTTGTATGAATTCAAGACCATTCTAAAGATCAGAAATCTCTCTCTCTCTCTCTCTCTCTCTCAAAGCTCGCTTATCTCTGCAGTTCGCAAGAGAGCTAGCAATCTAGCCACCAAAGGCTGGTCCCTGTTGTCTCTGGAGTAGATCCATGAGAGCTGATCCCTGTTGTCTCCATCTCTAGTTACTACTTAACTTGTTTCCAAGAAGATATTGGTTAGAGTAATTATGATGAACAAAGCCAATTGCACATCAATAATCAACAGGATCAATAATGCCATCTTACTTTTAATAGCTATGATCCATCAGCAGGCATTAAGTAATGGTTCTTTTTTCCACGCATTCATATTGCTCAATAGGATAAAACTTGATTTCATTTGAAAGAAATACTTAGAATATTTAAATATTAAATCATGTTTTTATTTAATAACTTAAACTTTTAGAACAGTTGACAGTGATCCCATATACTGTTACATAATTATCATAGAAGGAGGTGCTGAGTTCAAATCTTTCTAGGCCCCATTTTGTTTCCCAAATTATATATTTCCACGCTTTAGGCAAAGCTCGCCTTCATCTAATAGTTTAAACTTTTGAAATAATTGGCTACTGTCTCAAAATTTGTTTACGAAAACCATCCATTGGACACAGCAAAAGTTGTTAGTTATGAATCCCAATTATGTCATGATGATTTCGTCATAGAACTAGGCTGATAAATTCTCTTACGATAGTGAAATTTTTAAAGAGGATGCGTGCATCGATGCGGTTTGCCCTGTGTCCATTTTCATTGAGACATTAAACATCTCCAAATCTAGAAGACTTTTCTGGTTAATTAATACCCATTATCGCATCATCCACTATCACCCTCTTTAGTGTAGTATTCTACTTTGTAGGTTAAAGAACTAATAATGCACATACACAGATTATCCATATCCATTCATAGTGTCATACTCCACTAAGCGAAAGCTTTCTCTTTAAGCATTTACCACTGCAAGAATGACAGTATATAATGGCACAATCTCCTCTGAGAAGTACAACAGAAGGTGTGCTCCTCAAAAGTCCTACAAAGTTCGGCATCTCTCAGCATTAGCAGAAATGGCTAAATACTTCACTTTGTGCTTCCTCCTCTTGCTCGTCCTCTCGTGTGGTACCTCATTTTTTACTTCCGCCAGAGCTTTGGGCCAGATTGTTTGATGCTTCCTCTTGTACTTGACATTTGAGCATTTGTCTACTTACTGCATTACCCAGTGCAAGAAAGATGACAGCTTTAGCTTTTAGATTGTTGCTGTCTTAGTAACTTTATGCATGAGATCTGCAAATGTAGGGAAAAACATAAGTATAATTTTACAGGAAAATCATGTACATATGTGTCGAATTGAAGGGTACTGTCTTCTAGCAGCAAACAGAAGATGAGATCAAGACTTTTTCCAATATTAGAGAGCTAATTTTCTTTCGAGTTCTAGCCATCCTGTTCATAAGCAGAGTGATAGGAAGTCTGCTCTCGAATTAACACCAGCATCAATGGAAAGATCTCAACTGTTTCGGAGACAAAGTTCTCAAAATCACAAGCACCACTTCTTGTAACGTGTAACTAGCGTACATAAAATGGGATTCGTCTCATGGTCGGAACTTTTTAATGCCCACAGATGAGGAAAGGGTCTTCTTAGCAGAAGCAAAAGATTGCTACAAAGTTTGGACCTGCAAAGGCGGCGACAGATGCTGGGAGGATTGCAGGAACCGGTTCAATGGACGAGGCATGTGCGATCTTTATACCGCGCCTCCTGTTCCGAAGCAATGTTTCTGTGCTTACAAGTGCTGAATTCGGATTTGTATTAGACAGCAGAACTGTCACTTGTGTATAAGTAAGAGGGTTGGTGTGTTTCTACTTCTCAAGACCTGAAATGCTTCATTACCCATCTTGTTTTTGTGTCTTCTTCACCCACTTGGGGATAAATGTAGGAATGATGAATATCTTCCAAGTTTCAAGTAGTTGTGTCAGAAGCAAGTAATGACTCGTGAAGGACTAAGTGGGAGACTAGTATTGGCACTAGCCCTGTACAATTATAAGGAAATGAAATAATCTAATTGCTATAGCATGTTGAATTCTCTATTTAATGACACTATCCATACATAGTCGATGACAGGCACTCAAAACGGATGTAATCATTCCGACCCAAAAAAAAAAAACGGATGTAATCATAAGGAAAACAAATTTGACAAAATATGAATAATTTAAGAATAAGTGCACTGGAAGTCCTAAAATTTGTCATGAAAGTACAATTGAATTCTAAAACTTACAAAAAGTTCAATTAAGCCCTATAACTTGTCAAATTAGTGTAATCAAGTCATTCCATTAACTTTGTCTAATTTGGCTAACGGAAAATGCTGACGTGACATTTTTTTTTGTTTTTTTCTTTCTCCTACGTGGCCAAAACGACGTCATTTTGGTCAAAATTTGATTTTTTAATACAAATTTTCTTCAAATTATATTAAAAGTAAGAAAAAAATTAAAAAAAAAAAGAGAGAGGAAGAAGCAGGCGTAGCCATCACTGCTGCCGCCACCGCCCCACCATCGTGCCGGTGGGGGAATGGTTGGCAGGGGTCACCGGTTTCTTCCTCCTTTTTTGTATTTTTTTTTTTATAAATTCTGATTATTTTTTAATATAATTTTATTGAAAAGTTAGTTTGATCAAAACAACATAGTTTTAATCTTACATTTCATGTTTTAGCCACGTAATTGTCACGTAAGAGAGAAAAAAAGATAAAAAAAATCATGTCAGCATTTTTAATTAGCCAAGTTGAACGAAGTTAATAAAAGGACTTGATTGTACCAATTTAATAAGTTTTAGAACTTAATTGCACTTTTTGAAAGTTTTAGGACGCAATTGCACTTTCGTGACAAGTTTTAAGACTTTTAGTGTACTTATCCTAATAATCTAATAAATATATGGGTTATTTACCAATCGTTATGCATTAAAATGAGCAAATTAACGTGATAATTCTTTTCATAGAGAATATAATTAAGATTTTGGAGGGAAAATGGAGGGAGGAAAGAACAAACGAATATAAAGTGAGAACTAAACTGTCAAAAGGGGTAGAGTAAAGCAGTGTGTAGATAGTTTTCCTTGAGGAGGAGGGCAACTTAGGAAGGTGGAGGAATCAGGATTTCATTTCCTTATTCATAAAGTCTTTATTATGATACTATCTAAGCAAGACTTACCCAATTACAAATTACTGTAATTGGTCATGAATGTGCAAAATAAAATGCTTTCTTTAGATTCATCCTAAAAGATAGATTAGATTAGACGGTTCAGAGATATATTAAAGTATATAATATGTCTTTGCATTCGACCATCAAATCAAATCATGTCCTGCCACGCGTTGCGATGGGCCCCCCCGGAGCTGACGTGGCAAGAGCTGGACACTGTCCGAACTCAGCCCATCAGAGGAGTCTTGGTTTTCCTTAGCGGAAACAACCTTTTTTTCTGGTTCTGTCAAATGAAAGAAGCATGAAACGATTCATTCACCTGGCCCTTACAAATTCCCTCCTCCTGCACTCGGTAGGCTTCGTCCAGTTGATGACCAAAGTCAATGAACCATTTTGAGCGCTTCATCATCATCATCATCATACAGCGAGAGAGTAAAGAGAGAAGAGAGAGAATTATCGACGACCATTGACCGTCATTTGACTTGCTTTCACTGTTTCTGCCTTCTCCAAGAAGTTCGTGCCTGTGTATTTTCGTTAAAAAGATCTGATTTTTAGCGTTCAATCCGGCTTCATTGTCTTCGTCTCGACAATTACTCTGAAAAAGTCCCATCCTGACGCCTTCTCTTTGTCTGATCAAAGGTGGGTTTTCGTTATTTTCTTGTTATGTCCATCAAAGTTTGGTTTTTGATACGGATTTCGTAGGTTTAATTTGCCTTTCAACGTAGTAACATGCAGTTCTGGTTGATTGTTTGTACTTTGCCTTTTGATCATACTGAACAACATAGTAGCTGGAGGCAAATCTGTGCCTCGTGGGGAACAGATTATAACTTTGATGGGTTTAAAGGGTCCTTGTTGGAGCGTGGACTTACAGTGATTCTGGGCTTTCTTTGGGTCAAAAGAGCACTTGGTTAGTAAATACATAACCCCCATTCGAATGCTCTGAAGGTCTAATCCAAATGGTTTTCATTTTGGTGTTCAAATTATGGTTTGGTACTGTGCAGCGTGAACATGGCACTAGATAAGGCGCATGCGTGCTGGCATAAAAGATTCATTTAGTTGATCTTGCTCATTAAGTAAACGCTTAGTTATCGTCAATTAGTTGTGTTTCTGTATTCATTAGCATCTGCATTTATGAACTGATCACATTGGATATGTTTCTATCTGTCATAATAGTAGTTTCTGAAGCTCGAAATCGTGGGCATACCTGTTTAATCATTATATCTGTCCGGGGTTATATATAAAATTTAATTTTGAATGGACAAAACCGGGTAGCTGGAACTGCCTTGCTTCGTAAAATGCTCGCTTACCATTCTTGGCATGTGATCAGGATCTCCTGCAGGGTCAAAAGTTTGGTCGTCGATGGGAACTATCAGAGAGAATTACCAGTGTGCAAGTGATTATGAGCCAGATGAAGAGGGACCGGTACTTATATCAGTTCCATTTCCTTTAATTGATGAGAAGCCTCAACATGTTCTCGTAGGAGAAACTTCCAAGTGTCCGATTACCATGGAGAATACCAGTAGTGACGAGGTGGAACTCTGGGGGATCAGGATTTTCTCGTCGAATCCTACAGACTCGTTTACGTTGTCTCTCGTGGAACCGCCGTCTCTCAATTCAGACGACACATATGTTCGAGCGTTTCGTCAAAGTTCTGAATTGGAGGATAGAGTTTTGCAGCCACATCAGACTCTAACAATTTGGTTATCCTGCAAGCCGAAAGATATGGGCTTGCAGCAAGCCATCGTCCATTTTGACGTGGAGGATGCTAGGATTGAACGCGTAGTCTTTCTATTGGCTGAGGATAAGATCTCTCAGTCTCTGGCTCCAAACAGGTCATACTCAAGAGTTCCGAGAAGGAAACAGTTCAACATGGAAAACTGTGAGTTTGCGGTTCCATCGCGTCCTGCCAGGGAAAAAACCCAAAGATCTAGGTCTCGTGTGCTTCCGGAGTACCCCATCCCGAAGAAGTTCAGGGAGTTATATATGAATAACCAGGTCCCCGATGTTCTTGATGAAGGTTTGACAACTGAGAACTACTCAGCTTACTTCAATGCATTGGTTATCATTGAAGAGCTATACTCAGAGGTAACAATGATACTTAAGAAGCGTTGAACAAGTATTCTTTATTCTCGCGATCTAAATCATGATAGCACTCCTATTTTTTTCATCTCAGAAAGAAATGAGGCGCCATAACATGGAGTGTGTCCAAATGACAAGGAAGGGCGCTCGTCTTCTATCTTTGGTGGTTCCTGGGCTTGCTGAGAAGAGGCCTTCACTTTTACAAGGTGATGTTGTCTTGGTGAAGCTTGCTTATGAAGTCGCGCCTAATACTATTCCCTATAAGGTTCGTTGATCATCTTGTATAGTATCTTTCAAACCATCTATGCATTAAAATTTTTTGCATTTTTCATTTATAATGCATACTGTGTACTTTTGCCGGAGGATGAAAGTTCACCTCACAAGGGATAAGAGAAAGTAGAGGTGTGATCACAAATAATTACCCTGTGTGGGAGCTCTGAATTTTTCCCCTGCTCAGGAAAGAGAAAATAGATACTCTTATCTTCTTTTATCTCCTTGAAGGTTTTTCTTTAAAAGCTGTCAAAGTATAAAACCTAATTAGCTGTTAATTTTACAAGTTCCCGAGATAGTCGATGCTCTTGTCCTTTTATTGCTATGTTTTTAGTTGATATTACTCTCCTTGACGGATACCTCGGTGTCCAGTGACTTGCTTGTTCATTGAAAATTACTGATTGATGGAGCACTGTTCAGGGCCACATTCAACGCGTCCAAGCTGATGAAGTGCTTTTAAGATTTGCGGATGAATTTCATGATCGTCATCTTAACAAAAACTCTTACAGTGTTCAATTCGCTTGTAATCGGGTAAACATGAGGCGGTTGTATCAAGCCATCGAAGCTGCGGAGCGTTTAGGCAATGAAATTCTGTTTCCAACAGTTTCAACTGGCAGAAGGTCGATCGAAGAGGCACCCTTTGTGCCTTTTACTTCTAATTTGAACGAGGAGCAAATGCGTTGCATTCAGATGATTCTTGGTTGCAAAGGTGCTCCTCCCTATGTGATTTTCGGGCCTCCAGGAACCGGTAAAACAATGACCTTGGTCGAAGCGATTTTGCAGGTATACAAAACGCGGAGAAGTTCAAGGGTTCTTATTTGTGCTGCTTCCAACAGCGCTGCAGATCACATACTGGAAAAACTAATCACAAATGAGGTTGCCCAAGTCAAAGAGAGTGAGATCTTCAGGCTGAATGCTACCAGTCGTCCTTATCACGATCTTCAGGCAGATCATATCCGCTATTGCTATTTTGTGGAGTCTGTCTTCAGATGTCCTCCTCTCGAGGCTTTAATGCGCTATAGGATCATCATATCTACTTATACGAGCTCATCCCTTCTTCACACAGAAGGCGTAGAATCTTATCACTTTTCCCATATTTTTCTGGATGAGGCCGGGCAAGCTTCAGAGCCTGAATGCATGGTTCCCGTTGCCAACCTTTGTCGGAAGGAAACGGTGGTTGTACTTGCTGGAGACCCGAAGCAACTAGGCCCCGTTATACATTCCAAAGATGCCGAGGCTCGAGGACTGGGAAAATCTTTCGTAGAGAGGCTCTTTGAACACGAATTCTACCTGAATGAGGACATAGGATTTGTGACAAAACTGGTGAGAAACTACCGGAGCCACCCTGCCATTTTAGATCTTCCATCAAAGCTCTTCTATGAAGGGCAATTATTAGCATGTAAGGACAACTCCTCTTCTGTGATCCCGTCTTCCGATCTGCTTCCAAACAAGGAGTTCCCCGTTCTGTTTGTTGGCATACAAGGCTGTGATGAGAGAGAGGGTAATAACCCATCATGGTTCAATCGAATCGAAGCAAGTAAAGTCGTCGACTTCATCCAAAAGTTGACAGACAGTTCGAGTATGAGCGAAGCCGACATTGGGGTAATAACACCATATCAGCAGCAAGTGGTGAAAATAAAAAAGGTGCTCGAAACATATGATATGTCGGGTGTCAAGGTGGGGAGTGTTGAACAGTTTCAGGGTCAAGAGAGAGAGGTCATCATAGTTTCCACCGTCCGATCGACATTGAAGCATACTGAGTTTGACAGAGCTCATTGTCTCGGATTCTTGAGCAACCCAAGGAGATTCAATGTTGCAGTAACCCGCGCTCGGTCTCTGCTTGTCATCATCGGGAACCCTCACATTGTTAGCAAGGTAACTGCACCCGACCCATTTCGAGATGTTTGAAGGTTATGCATTGTGTATTGCTTGTACTGACAACTAATTACCGCAACAAGGGTGGACATCGTGCAATGTTCGTGACTGACCATGATTCTTTGCTTTATCCAGGACCCTCATTGGGAAAAGCTTTTGCAGTATTGCGTTGACAATAATTCCTACCAAGGCTGTCCTCTCCCCGAAGGAGCGGATGACGACGATGACGACGACGATGAGTCTTTCATTGGAGAGAAACCTAAAGACTAATGTTGAATAACTCTCATATTTCAGGACCAGTAGAGATCTCTTGGGTAATTCCTGGAGGCTACTCATATCAACTGATGAAGCTGAACTTTTGAGATGTCTGGAGCTGATTGTTCTGCATTTTGCTTGTACCCTGTTAAATATATCTTTCCATATACTTCTGATTGGTTAAACAAGTTCATCTTTTGCGTTGTTACTACCAATTTGGCCCCAGACCATGCTTCCATATGAGGTTGATAAGTTCAACAATGTCGACTTCCAGTAATTTCAATTCGATCTAGTTTCCGCACTTAGCGGTTGAAGGTCATGCCTGTCCTCTGATGCTGTTGTTATTTCTGATCCGACTCCTAGAATTTCTGCACATGTGATTGCATTATTCGACACAGTTAAGGTTAGCAAACTTTCATGGGAAATGTCATGACACGATGAAAAGATTGTGTTCTTTTTGGTAATCGTCAGCTCTTGCATACGTGATTGTTGCATGTCACCGTTTCTCTTCCGAACGCCTCCTGTTGCATGTTTGCATGCCGTCCTTTAAGTCCACCTCAAAGCCTCGCCGAGTCCCCAAAAGATAATAGAAAAACGAATCAAACTCCTGATAAATTATCCTAGTCCCCCTCGAGTCCTCTGATCAGCGACTACCCACCTCCGAAATGAGCCAAGAACAGCCGCGCAGGAGGGCTCAACGGCTGCGCTCAACGGCAACAAGAGCCGGTCAAATACAGCGACGTGTTCGCCTCCGTCGAGGGCGAGCTTGCAGACAAGCCGGTGGCACCGAAGGACGCCGCCCTGATGCAGGCGGTGGAGAACCTCACGCTCGGCCAGGTCCATAAGGGCACGGCCGCATGGGCGATGCGGTCGGTGGCCACGCGGAACGAGGATGCTGGCGTGGTCGGGCATAACAGCATGAACGAGATGGTGGCGGAGCAGGGAGTGAACGTCGCCGCATCGGATCTTCCGGGTCGGCGCGTCATCAGCGAGTCCATTGGGGGACAGGTATGGTTTCAAACTTTCAAGTGAACAGTCCGAGTAGTTTTATTCTAACATAGTCGTTGAAACGTTTTGATTCTGTAGTGTATGACAAGTTCGTAATAGAAGTTCAACACACGAAATAAACTGTGAGATGTCAGGATTGTCATTGACGCGATTGAGATCATCTAGGAAGCTTTGCTGAATAATCGAAGTGCCTTACGGTTTTATGACCCGTCGTTCATTCGTTTGTTGCGGCTGCCTAACGCAGGTCCTAGGTCAATACTCGCAGCGGGCTCCCCTGGTTTCTGGGCCCCTTGTGCCTGAAAACAAAAACAAACCGACTGGCGACGGTGTCGGCACCAGCGGTGGTCCAATCACGATTGGAGAAGCCCTGGAAGCCGCCGTTCTGACAGTCGAAGACAAGCCTGTGGAGCGGAGTGATGCAGCCACTATACAAGCTGCAGAAGTGAGAGCGACGGGCCGCACAACCATTGCTCCCGGGGGGTCGCAGCTGCCGCTCAGTCGGCCGTGACTCTCAATGCAAGGACGACCCGGGCTGAGGAGAAGACGAAATTGGCTGATGTTTTATAGGTAATCGATTCGACGTTACTCTCGTAGTTTTCAGCATTTGGTTAGAAATTGGCATTCTGGCAGAGGCAAATTTTCCTAGTAACGTAGTGACTTATGGTAACGAAATGCCGACCGTTCTATGCAGGGTGCTCCATCGAAATTGCCTTTGGATAAGCCGGCGATGCGTGCAGATGTGGAAGGGGTCACGGCTGCTGAGATGAGGAATGACCGATTCCTGACCACACATCCCACAGGGGTTGCCGCAACAGTGGCGGCGGCGGCCCGACTCAACATTTCCGACAAAAACCGGAATGGGAAAGATAAAGTCCCCGGCATATAAGTTCACGAATCTCCTATCCGATATACAGTTAAGATCTACCGGCATGGATGTCCAAAATGTAGAAGACAACAGTTTAGTTTTTTCCCTGAAACTGCCTGAACTGGCAAACTATGTACCGAGTGTTTCCTTTTGCATTAGAACTGGCTCATGCTTTTCATACAGGTCGTCTAACTTTACGAAAACATGTGGTGCACCGTTCCATCAATGGATCATTGATGAATCTGTAATGTTACATTACATCGATGGAAAATGTTCATCTTCTCCTTCTGTTCCTCGACCGCTTATATCAAGTATCATCAACAAATGTTAGCTTCATCCCTGAACTGCCACTGAGAAGGGGGAGAAGACTTTGAGAGCGAATCAGTGAAAATGAATGAGAGGGAGAGAGCTTCTCGTTCGTATGTTATGTAATCAAAACAAGATACAAAATTTCCGGTTTGTGCCGATAGAATCTCTGACGAAATTTCGGTTTGTGCCAGTAGAATCTCCGACGATGGTAAGAAAATATCAACTCTCAAGGATCATTTTTGAACTTGGTAAGAAGAGAAGTAGCAACAATTACACCATACATACTCGCAGAACCTTAGACAAGTTTTGGCCTTGCTACTTTTTAGCCCTACTTTTTCTTGAACCAACCACCGTCCATCCATCTGCATCAACCGTCTGGGGTGGCCGCCCCTCGTCTCCGGCTTTGTTGACTGGAGTTGGGCTCGACTGAGATTTTGGTGCGTCCACCATCATGTATGGCGAATCGTCCATGGCCATGTCTTCGGTATCGCTGTCATCTTCCTCTTCTTCTTCTCCTTCAACAACCTATGTAGACATGAAGTCGCGTCAAGGAGGATTTGTGACAGAGAATCATATACAACTCTGGCAGGTTCGACATATACAGTGGTCTCCAATGCGAGATAAATGTCTCCGTCAATATGAAGATGCACTTCACAGAGAATCATATACAATTCACAGTGTGATCATGCAGATAATGTTTCCTAGAATGTAATAAGACATCCCCTGGTTGAGTGCATTCCTAGGGAATAACCTGCACATGATACGACAAGTTTCGTGTATAGCCCTGAGAGAAGCATCGGCAACCCTCATTATGAATGAGAATATCGGTTACATAGTCTTCAAATGCCAAACCTTCAACGAGCACTTCAACTTGAAGATACCCCAAATTACATATCATGCTAAAAAGACCAAAGTGTATGGAATGGTGATACAAGAAGACATTTCCCTAGTCAAGATCTCAAAACAAAGAAAACGGAATCCTAGCATCAACAATAGAGAAGGGGGGAAAAACCGAAATGTAGGGGACGCCACCCCATAGAATCTTAGCATCACAATAATACATAAACGGCCCTACTGCAGCTCCTCCTCACTCTCTCCTTTAATATGCTCCCAACTAGAAAATTAAAGACAAGCAAGCAGAAACCAAATCAAGTTCCATCTAGGACGTCTCAAGTCTCGACCAAGACAGGATTGTACATGGCTCAACAAGTGCATGTTAGCACACTCGGCAAACATTCAATGTCGACCACAGCTATAGAGAGAGCAAGCATGAAGTGAATGGAAAAAGTTCGGCTCAGAACAAGCATGAAGTACGAAGCTATACGCAATCTCCTTGCAAAAGATGCATAAGAGAGAGCAAACAATATCACAAAATATTCATCTTATTTAGTTCATCCTCTTCCCGGTCCGACCACATGAAGCTGTTTTCTTAATTCTTTGTCCCAAAGAGTTTGTGAATATATACGTGCCTCGCTGAATTTAAGGCATGAGCTACATTACTTCGCTCCGCCGCCGAGGCACTTTACAATTGAGAATAACACAGTCTAATCACTTCCTCTTCGGAGGTACTATCGACATCGATAACCCAGTTTCTTCAACCATTTTCCAACCAATGCAATACCCCCCATCATCAAGCAATCGCCGATCACCTCAAAACGAGAAAACCAACAAAGAGCCTAGGGTACCCAGGCAAAGCTTCACAAAAGAATTACCTGCTTGACATGCGCAGGCGCGACTCTCTTCAAAGAAGCCTCCCTCAGTTTCTCAACAGCTGCAAAGTTCCCTTCCAGGCATTCCTCGTGCAAGATCATCAATTTCTCAGCCACCTGCAGCGCACAACCGTGTTCCATCAGCCAAACCAACATCGGACGCGAGGTCCGCCCCGCCGCGCGACCAAACCGCACCGGCCGACCGACCGGCCGACGCACCCCGCAGCCGATCGGGCGGGGGGAGAAGGAGGAAAGGCGCGTACCTCCTCGACGCTGCCGTCTTCGGCCACGGTGTTCAGAGAAATCATGGCCTCGTACAGGAGATCCTCCAAATCGTCGATGTAAAGCGGCTCTGATCGGATTCAAAAAGGGAACAGAAGCAAAGATTAAAAGCTATCCCCCCCCGATTCACCACGAAGAACAACGATCCCAGCAAGCAAGCACTCGAGCTCAGCGCTCACCGAAAACGGGAAGCCCCACGTGTGTACCTTTGGACTGGGTGTACCAGGCGAAGATGTCGTGGGCGAGCTCGTCGGCCCTCTGCCGGGAGCCGCGGCCGCCCCACTCGTTGTCCACCGCCATCTGGAGGGCCGACCACCGGGCGAGCGTCAGCGTCACGCCTTCCCTGAAGACCGGCGCCGCCTGCTCCGGCAGCTGCCTCGGCGGCTCCATCTCTCTCCCTCTCTCTCTCTTTCTCTCTCGCGGCCGCTGGGGAGAAGGGCCCGAGGGTTTTAGATTGAGAGCGGCGAGCGCGGCGCGAGGAAGAAGACGGAGTTTCGGAGAGCCGAGCCGAGCCTAGCCGATCGGTGGGCGCCATCAGTTTTTAAGGATGGCGCTATTTTCACACCTTTATGGCTAAATCCACTCGATTTTCGTAAAAATGTTAATATCACAAAAAATCTAAAACTGATATATTTATGATAAATTTATTGTAAATTAATTTTTTGATCACGAAAAATCACAAACTGATACATCTGTAATAATTTTACCCTTCATTAGTTTCCGTTAAATTTTACTGTCAAATTTTTGAGTTGGAAGACACGTGACAGTTGAAGAATGTACCAGTTTAGGATGCAAGTGTACAATTTTGTGGTTTTTGGTGATATTAATTCAATTTAAATGAGAGAAAATTTGTCACAAATGTACCAGTTTGAAGGTTTTTGGTGGTCAAAAAAATAGTTTAGAGTAAATCTGTTATATATGTACCAATTTTAGATTTTTTATTGTCAAAAAATTAGTTGGTTGTAAATTTGTTACGGCCGTACCAGTTTAGGATTTTTCATGGTATTAACCTTTCATAAAAAGACAAAATTATTCTCAATTATTAAATTGCAATTTAAAATGGTGATTCCAAATTTATTTCCTTTTCTTCTTTTTTTAGTTTTTCTTAGTTAAAAATTCTCCATGTATAATTTTTGTTTATTGCAGATTTCCCATGTATATTAAAGGCATTAGTATTTTTTTAATTGTCTTACTTTCATAAAAGTTCGTTTCGTCGAAAAGATAAATTTTCAAGAAAGCTAATTCTTTTCCACGTCATCGAGCAAATTTTTGGATAAATTATCATGTAAAAAAACAAATTTTCTATCTGCACGTATGGATTTTTCTGACATGAAAAACCTATTTATGTCTTTTTTTTTCCTAATATATACTGAACAGTAGAATCGTCCTTGTCCTCAAATTTGAGGTTTCCCTCTTTGGGAAATTAGATGGTCGATAGATCTGCTTCATTGCTCAAGGCTGTGCATACCTACTTTAGGTTTGAGCGGGTTTGAGAGAAATGGCGATTAGAATTTAACACGGCATGATTATTAAAGTAGATATCAGAAATTCCGGGAAAATTTGTAAAAAATAAAAATCCTAAACTTATTACGCTTTTGTCAATTCAGTAGTAAATTTATCAATTTTGCCAATTGATTCATAAACCTTTTGATGTTTTGCCAATTGAGTCAATTCGGCCAATTTGAACCGAAAAATAGCTGATGTAGACGCCGGCAAAGATGAGTTTCATGTATATAGAAAGGATCTATATTCACCCCGTCACCATCTTGATTTTCATCAGTCTAAGCAACTTGGAATGGCTAAGTTCACGTACCGGATTATATGCAGAACGAGTTCATGACTGCCTGTGCCAATGTGCTTTATCAGTCTTCCGCTGATAAAGACAAGATTCCCTCATAGAATATCTGCTGAGTTGCTTCCAAGATTAATATAAAGTCATTTGGTACCCAAAACATGAATATGAAGTGCAGGCGACAAATCAGAAGCTCGGGTTTCATCTGTACGAGTTTTTTTGGTATTACAGCATTGAAAGTTCGAAAATGGAACCGGACCGAAGCATGGAATCGAATAGAGTTCATAGGAAATTACAGACATCTTATTCAGATGCTGAAGTCCCCAAGATTGCGAGGGGGGGGAAAAGATCATGTAAAGTGTCTCATTGACAATTAAGTTCCATCAAACATCTTAACATGCTGAATCTCGAACAAAAGCAAGTCATTCCTGGGAGTGAGACCAGAGTTGTCCTATTGTGCTCGGAACGGCATCGGCATGTGGAAACCCGTAGCCAACATTTCAGTAGAGAACTGGAGATCTCCATGAACAGGCGACCTGTTTATTCCACACTAACATTGGACCGATTTGTGGCTGTTGTCACTCTAATCGAAAGTCATGTTTTGAGCCTCGTTCCTGATCGAATCGAAAAGGGCGGTCGAAAGATAACGCTCTCCGAAACTAGGGAACACAACCTGCAGAGAGGGAGAAAGTCGGAATAACAGCATGAGAGGCAACTCTGTGTACGCGGAAATTGAAGGTGGGAATTAGGAGGAGAGCAAAGAGTCGGATCAAAGATGAACACCAAATCATCAAGGAAGAAATAATAGTGTCTTTTTAGCTTGAGGCGTTGCAGAGGAACAAAATGCAAAGAAGTTCAGACTTACAACGATCAGTTTTCCGGCATATTCAGGCCGCTTTCCCAACTTTATGGCAGCTGCAGCTGCAGCCCCTGAAGAGATCCCTACCTACTCAAAGACAAAGTGGAAGATTGCCAAAGGTGAGAACGTAAAAGGCAGTTGCCATCACAGCAACATGGTCCGAAATTTTCTCGTGACAGGTAACTTTGTGCATCCGGAAAAAGAAGAAGGGTTATGACAATTAAAAGTCGGTACCAATAGACCCTCTTTCAGGGCAAGAAGCTTAGTCGTCTCAATAGCTTCCTCACTTGATATCTGGAGCCACAAAATGTCATGTAATTTAATCACTTAAGGAAAGTATCCGAGACTTGACAGCAAGGCGGATAGTCTAACCAAATTTTCAGCCTAATATTCGAAACTTACTTGGAGGACTTCCTCGAGCAAGCTGACGTCCAAAACTGGCGGAATGAAACCAGCACCAATTCCTTGTATCAAGTGCTTGCCTATGATATGTTTCAGACATCAACTGATGGACCAAAAACTGTTGATACATATCAAAAAGTAGGTAGCGTAGATCTGGACAGGAGGATGAAAAAAAAAGGTGAAATTTGTCTCCCACATAGCACAGTGCCATTTCTTCATGCTTTTTGCCCGTGCTACCATCGCTACTGAGGATATAACAGTCACCTGCCCCGCCCCGCAAAAAAGAAGAAAGATGGAAAAGGAAAGAACTAGCTCCTAACTCAGTGATATCCAAAGTTGTACTGCACAGAGTTCCAACAACAGCAAAGACGAGTCAGAGAGGAGAGAAGATAAATCCATGCACTCACCTGGACTTCCGCCATTCAGGACTGCACTTTCAACTGGCTCGACACCATACACCTGGATAAAACGGGAGAGTAAACAAAGACATATAGTTAGCGGTCAGTTATCTCTCCGAAACTAACTGAACACCTGATTGGAATTCGAGCTGACCTTGATCTCTGGGTTCTTTTCCTTGAGAAATTTGCCCGTGCCAGTTACGGTTCCTCCTGTCCCTATTCCTGAAACGAAGGCATCCACCTTTCCTCCTGAGTCCTTCCAAATTTCTGGGCCAGTAGTTTCATAATGAACCTACAGACACAATTGCAAACCAACTCTTCGATCCTTCGAATTGTGCACATAAATGCATATACAGATTAATTAAGAATAATCAGGCAGAAGAAAATCGACAATTAAAATAAGGAACCTTTGGATTCGCAGGATTCTCAAACTGCCGGAGCATGTGACTATTCGGCGTCCTGTCCTGGATCTCCTCAGCCTTTTGAAGGACATCATCTATTCCCTTGGCCGGATCCGTGATATATACCTCAGCTCCAAAAGCTAGCATAAGAATTCTTCTCTCAATACTATATGAAGCCGGCATGACAAGCATAAGTTTGTAGCCCTTAATGGCAGCAATAAAAGCCAAACCAATGCCGGTGTTGCCGCCGGTGATCTCGATAAGGATGGTCTTCAATCGCCATACATCCATCAAAAAAACCATTTTCCAAAATCAGTAAGTTAAACATAGGCAACAACAGTGGCGGTGTAAATGTTCAGAACGAAACTTTTAGCCCCACGGAATATTCTATTCACCTTTCCTGGAGTTATCAGTCCTTTTTCCTCGGCATCTTGGATCATGCTAAGTGCAATCCTGCATAAATTGTATTGACAAACATCTATCAGAGTGTGCTAATTGATGCAAGCCAGCAGTAACAGAGCGATAATTGCTGCTTGCCTATCTTTAACGCTAGAACAAGGCTCCATAGTCTCAAGCTTCGCAGCGATGCGAGCTACACAGCCTTCCACAACATTATTGAGATAAACCATTGGAGTGTTGCCTATTAACTGCACGATACAATGAGAAACACGTTAACTGGATAGCACACGACCAACATGAACTTTGTGAGAGAACCACAATGACATTGGGAAAATGGCATTCATAGAGAGAGATTACCTCGGTGAGATCTCGCTTGATAGCACACTGTCCCTCCATGTCGTGTTTTCGCAGCAATCTAGAAGCCAACAAGAAAATACATTGCGAGATAAGTGTTTCGATCGAAAGTCAATTGAGAAGCGACGACCAAGGGACTGATCTTGTTTGTCATTTTATCAAATGCATTTTGCTCTGGGAGCCGGCGTGACGCGCGTCCGACACCACCGACACGCGTCCGACATGCGGTCAACAGGTGCCGGACATGCCGGCGACACGCGTGTCCCTTCGTCACTGAGAGAGATGGGGAAGAAGGTGCAGCCGAGAGAGATGAGGAAGAAGGGTCAGATCTCTGGCGCCGAGGACGACGCCCTCCACATGCCATCATCTCCTTCGCCCTCCCACTCTCTCCGGCGCCGACGACGACGCTCTCCACGCCGGTCATCTCCTTTGCCTCGAGCTTCGCCGGCCGGCAACGGAGGAGAAGGAAGAGGTGGAAGGAGGCTGCGGTCGCACGGAGGAGGAAGCTCTGCGACGGAGGAGAAGAAAGAGGTGGGAGCAGCCTGCGCGCGAGGAGGAAGCTTTTAATAATGGGCTGCTTTTTTTTTTCCTTGTATTTTTCTTTTTTTTCAAATTTGATTATCTGCTTTTGGTTTCTTAACTAATCTATTTATTTATACATAATTATTTTTTGAAAATTTATGCTTACTAAGCTCGCGTGTGTATAATGTTTTTAGGGTAAATTCATTCTAGGCTTTTTTTTTATTATTTATTTACTTATTTAAATCAAATTTAAAAATAACAATTTATCATGTATATATAAAAATATATATTTAATATACAACGTGTCTCAACGTGTTGGATTAAGTGTTCACTTGAATGTTCACCTTATTACGGTATGTCCAAGTCCTCACGAACGTCCTCGTTCTTCCCGATTTGTTCGCCATATACCAAGCAAGGTCCTTTCAGCTTGTGTCTTTCCACTATATGCTTCGGATACCCTCGACACTAACCACCATTCCTCGTCGGAATATCACATGATCAATGTATCATTCGCGGCTTGTGCATATTTAACCCGGTTCTACTCAACCAATAAACACATTAATAGCCTTTGACTGTTTTTATTATCTTCAAAATTACGTAGGAAATTTTCCCAACACCTATAAATAGGAGCAAGTGCTCCTTGTGCCGTGATGTGTGTGCGCCTCAGAGAGCCAACGAGAGAGGTCACCAGATACAAAAAGGTGAACTTCGAGAGCGAGAGAAAGGCAATGCAGCCAGATAGAGAGAGCTGCTCTCTATGAGTGAGAGATAATCAGATTAGTTGAGAGTGCGTATTTGTATAAGCAAGTATTGCTTTGAGTATTTTGGATGTGGTTAGAGAAAATATATTGTAATAGTCGTGCGAGATGATTTCTGATTGTTATACTTGTACCGCAATTTAGTATAATAAGTGTGTCTTAAGTTGTCTATTACAATTCTCTTGTGTTATTATCACAACGCTTTCGCATCTCCTATAAGTGTCATCAAAGTAAGGTTGCGCACTATACATACACTTACCTTGTTAGTTTTCTTTTGCCTTGTTCAATAATGAATACTTTCCACGTATGCTGGATCGTTTGAAGATAATTCGTCGCAATATGCTCCCCTGTTTTGACCAAATTTATATACCCAAATCCTTGGCGGAGGGTAATCCCGTGCCCACAAATTTAGCCCATATTCTCGAGAAAAATATTTGTCATATCTCCATTGACGCCTTCCTTATCAACCAAAGTAAAAACTGACGCCTTCCTTTAATTTGCGAGTCCCATCATTTATGAAAAATAGTCCACGGAATTCTCCTCCTTTTTTTGAGCGCTTCCCCACAATCACCTACACCGCGTTAGCCATACCACCGTGAGCCAAGAAAAAAAAAAAATAGACAAAGGTCTAGAACTGTTTTGCATCATTACCACCTGCAAACACAGAACCGGCGGATGATGAAGCTGACAAACAAGAAGTTTCCAGCCACGTTATATGGGCATGTTTGGTTCAACTTTGAAAATGCTATTTGGGGGAATGCAAATACCTTTGGGTGAAAGCCCATTGGGAAAATGCAAATGGTGTTTGGTAAAAATATTTTCGCCAAAATATAGTGTTTGGTGAAATTTTTTTTGCAAATGGAGTTTGAGAATTATCTTATTTATTAAAAAAAAAAACTAACATACCCATCGTCGGAACCGGCCACCGGCGAGATAGATCTGGCACCGGCGGCCGTCGCCCGAGGTCGGGCGACCCCCGGCGAGCCAGATTTGCCGCCGCCGGAGGCTGCCCGAGGCCAGTCGACCCTCGGCGGGGGTCACGCGACCCAGGCGGGGCCTGCATTGTCCATACTCCTCCGCCACAATATTCCTCGCATTGATTGCTTGCGTGTGTCAGTCCTTTCAGCCAGCCAGAGGAGGGAGAGAAAAATAGAGAGCCTACGTCATAATTTGTGGCAGTGGGGGCCTGCGTTCGCGCGGCCCCTGCCCAATTCTGCAGTCCAAAATTTTGCTTGCTTGCGGTTCTCGTGGTCTAAGTTTATGTCCACTAATTCTAATATCCCGGCAGCTTCGTCCTTGCTGATTTTAGGAATAATAAAAGAAGTGGGTCTTCTTTCGCTACCAGAGTTCAGTATCGAAGTTCTTACGTCTTGTGATGGAGAGAGTAGACCCATCGGCCGTGAGTCTCCGTCCCTTCAGGATTTCCGATGCCGACGACTTCCTTTCGTTCGCAGGTGACGACCAGGTCACGAGGTTCCTGAGATGGAAGACGTTGACCTCGAGAGAGAGGAGGCCCTGGCCACCATAAGGGACGTCTGCATACCGCACCCCTTGGCGCCGCGCAGTGTGCGTCAGGGGGACGACAGGTACCGGGCGGACATCGGGTACGGCGTGGCCAAGGAGTTGGGGGGGGGAGGGTTTGGCGGGTTTGGCAACCCGAGCGGTGAAAATGGCGTTGTCCCAGGTGTTAAACTTATAACACTTTTGTCAATTCAGTACTAAACTTATTAATTTTGACAATTGAGTCTTGAACTTTTTTTTTTTACATTTTGTCAATTGAGTCAATCCCGATCAATTTAAGCCGGAAAATAACTGATATGCATACCAACCGTCTTACGTAATGCAATCGAGTCTGACGTAGATAATTTTTATTAATTTATTAATTTTTTTTCGAATTATTTATTTGTTTTTTTTTCTTTCCTTCTTCCTCCTCTAGCCGGTTGCTGGGCCTCGGCGATGGCCATCGAGGACGACCTCGCCTGCCCTTGGCGAGGCTCAACCTCACCATCACTAGCCCTTGCCGGCCACTAGCAAGCCTCGCCGGGCCCTAGTGAGGCTTGACCTCACTGTCACTAGGCGAGGTCGAGCCTTGCTAGTGGCCGGCGAGATGAGCTTCGCCATGCTGGCAAGGTGGGCGAGGTACCTCGCCAGCCTTCGCCTTTGGACAATCGCCATGCATCGGCAACCGGCTAGAGGAGGAAGAAGGGAAAAAAAATTGAAAGAAAAGAAAAATAAAAAATAAAAAAATAATTCCAAAAAAATAGAAATATTATGAAAAATTATTGACGCTAGCGCTGTCCGCGTCACGTGAGATTCTTGGCACCCATGTCAGCGATTTCCGACCAAAATTAGTCGGATGAACTCAATTGGCAAAACGTGAAAAATGTGTAGAATTCAATTGGTAAAATTGAAAGGTTTATGACTGAATTGACAAAAGTACAATAAATATAGGACTTTTTGGATAATTTTTTTTGAAATTCCAAAAATAACATGAATTGACACGAAATCAAATGTCAAGTGTGTTTTTTTTTTTGTACGTTTAACAAAAAAATAATGTGTTGCGATAGCACGACTTCTCATATCAATATTGGACATGTGAACACGAACTGTTGACTCTTCGTGATAATTATCATATCCTTGAGTTTCATATATATAAAAAGGATCAATATTCACCTCCTTCACCATCTTGATTTTCATAAGTCTAAACAACTTGGAAAGGCTAAGTTCATCCACCGGATTTTATGCAGAACAAGTTCATAAAACTACATGAGTTCTCCACTCCAACTGCCTGTGCCAATGTGCTTTATCAGTCTTCTGCTGATAAAGCTAAGCTTCCTTCCCAGAATATCTGCTAAGTTGCTTGTAGATTAATATAAAGTCATTTGGTACCCAAAACATGATTATGAAGTACAGGCGACGAATCAGAAGCTCGGGTTTTCTTCTGTATGAGTTATTTTGGTATTATGGCGTTGAAAGTTTGAAAATAGAACCGGACCGAAGCATGGAATCGAATAGAGTTCATAGGAAATTACAGACATCTTATTCAAATGAGTTCATATAAAGCGTCTCATTGACAAATAAGTTCCATCAAACATCTTAACATGCTGAATCTTGAACAAAAGCAAGTAATTCCTGGGAGTGAGACCAGAGTTGTCATATTGTGCTTGGAACGGCATCGGCATGTGGAAACCCGTAACCGAAATTTCAGTAGACAAGTTGAGATCTCCATGAACAGGTGACATGTCTATTTCACACTAACATTGGACCGATTTGTGGCTGTTGTCACTCTAATCGAAAGTCATGTTTTGAGCCTCGTTCCTGATCGAATCGAAAAGGGCGGTCGAAAGATAACGCTCTCCGAAACTAGGGAAAACAACCTGCAGAGAGGGAGAAAGTTGGAATAACGGCACGAGAGGCAACTCTGTGTATGCGGAAATTGAAGGTGGGAATTAGGAGGAGAGCACGGAATCGGATCAAAGACGAACACCAAAACATCAAGGAAGAACTAATAGTCTCTTTTTAGCTCGAGCCATTGCAGAGGAACAAAATGCAAAGAAGCTCAGACTTACAACGATCAGTTTTCCGGCATATTCAGGCCGCTTTCCCAACTTTATTGCAGCTGCAGCTGCAGCCCCTGAAGAGATCCCTACCTACTCAAAGACAAAGTGGAAGATTGTCAAAGGTGAGAACGCAAAAGGCAGTTGCCATCACAGCAAAATGGTCTGAAAGTTTCTTGTGACAGGTAACTTTGTGCATCCGGAAAAAGAAGACGGGTTATGACAGAGTTAAAAGTCGGTACCAATAGACCCTCTTTTAGGGCAAGAAGCTTAGTAGTCTCAATGGCTTCCTCACTTGATATCTGGAGCCACAAAATGTCATGTAATTTAATCATTAAGGAAAGTATCCTCAACTTGACAGCAAGGTGGATAGTCTAACCAAATTTCCAGCCTAATGTTCGAAACTTACTTGGAGGACTTCGTTGAGCAAGCCGACGTCCAAAACTGGCGGGATGAAACCAGCACCAATTCCTTGTATCAAGTGCTTGCCTATGATATGTTTCAGACATCAACCAATGGACCAAAAACAGTTGATACATATCAAAAAGTCGGTAGCATAGATCTGGACAGGAGGATGAAAAAAAAGGTGAAATTTGTCTCCCACATAGCACAATGCCATTTCTTCATGCTTTTTGCCCGTGCTACCATCGCTACTGACGATATAACAGTCACCTGTCCCACCCCACAAAAAAGAAGAAAGAAGGAAAAGGAAAGAACTAGCTCCTAACTCAATGATATACAAAGTTGTACTGCACAGAGTTCCAACAACAGCAAAGGCGAGTCAGAGAGGAGAGAAGATAAATCCATGCACTCACCTGGACTTCCGCCATTCAGGACTGCACTTTCAACTGGCTCGACACCATACACCTGGATGTAAACGAGAGAGTAAACAAAGACATATAATTAGCGGTCATTTATCTCTCCGAAACGAACTGAACACGCGATTGGAATTCGAGCTGACCTTGATCTCTGGGTTTTTTTCCTTGAGATATTTGCCCGCGCCAGTTACGGTTCCTCCTGTCCCTATTCCTGAAACAAAGGCATCCACCTTTCCTCCTGAGTCCTTCCAAATTTCCGGGCCAGTAGTTTCATAATGAACCTACAGACAAAAATCGCGAACCAACTCTTCGATCCTTCGAATTGCGGACATAAATGGATATACAGATTAATTAAGAATAATCAGGCAGAAGAAAATCGACAATTAAAATAAAGAACCTTTGGATTCGCAGGATTCTCAAACTGCTGGAGCACGTGACTATTCGGCGTCCTGTCCTGGATCTCCTCAGCCTTTTGAAGGACCCCATCTAATCCCTTGGCCGGATCTGTGATATATACCTCAGCTCCAAAAGCTCGCATCAGAATTCTTCTCTCAATACTATATGAAGCCGGCATGACAAGGATAAGTTTGTAGCCCTTAATGGCAGCAATAAAAGCCAAACCGATGCCGGTGTTACCGCTGGTGATTTCGATAAGGACGGTCTTCAATTGCCATACATCCATCAAAAACCATTTTTCCAAAATCAGGAAGTTAAACATAGGCAACAACAGTGACCGTGTAAATGTTCAGAATGAAACTTTTAGCCCCACGGAATATTCTATTCACCTTTCCTGGAGTTATCAGTCCTTTTTCCTCAGCATCTTCGATCATGCTAAGTGCGATCCTGCGTAAATTGTATCCACGAATATCTATCAGAGTGTGCTAATTGATGCAAGCCAGTAGTAACAGAGGGATAATTGTTGCTTGCCTATCTTTAACGCTAGAACAAGGCTCCATAGTCTCAAGCTTCGCAGCGATGCGAGCTACACAGCCTTCCACAACATTATTGAGATAAACCATTGGAGTGTTGCCTATTAACTGCACGATACAATGAGAAACATGTTAATTGGATAGCACACGACCAACATGAACTTTGTGAGAGAATCACAACGACATTGAGATGATGGCATTCATAGAGAGTTTACCTCGGTGACATCTCTCTTGATAGCACACTTTCCCTCCATGTTGTATTTTCGCAGCAATCTAGAAGCCAACAAGAAAATACATTGCAAGATAAGTCTTTCGATCGAAAGTCAATTGAGAAGCAACAACCAAGGGACTGATCTTGTTTGTCATTCCATCAATGCATTTTGCGTTCTATATATTGCTTATTCCACGAAACAATAGCCATGGCCATGCTTCTACTAAACTACATCACTCCAGCACAAAGGGCAAGCAAACGATATCGGACGAAGCCAACTTGCAGCAACAATCGGAACACTTAAATCAGCTCAATCGTAGGCGTAAAAGGGGGAAAAAAGGACATGGACGAAATTCACCGACTGACAACTTTGATGAAAGAGCAGTGAAAACACACAATTCCCTGACTTTCACATCCACCAGGAGAATATCTACACATATTTCGACTAAGCATTTAAGAAAGTAAAAGATTTTGAGAAGCAACTGACTACACACTATGCCTTACTTCTTTTCCTGAAAGTATAATCTTCTCATACTTAATGTCTAGTAACAAAGCACCAACTTTTTGAGATATCAGGTTTCAACATAAGCTCAGCACGATTGTGATCAACACCCATATGTTTCCCCTTGATTTTTTTTTTCCTCAAAAGAACAAATCTGGTAAAAAGCTCCGGAAACTCTCACAAACTTCATAGGGCACCCATAAACAAGAGCAGAAGCAGCAAAAGCGGCAGCAATCCAAACATGGCAATCCGCTGTTTTATTCACGAACTCACCGGTGACCAGAAAACGCAGTGTGCCCCGCCAATCGCTCTGCAGGGGAAAGCTATACGAGCTCTGCAAGTTTAAATAGAGGAAATTGGATTGGACCCAGTAAGGAAGATAAGGCAGAGAGTGACGGGGAGGAGGAAACTGGGGCACGCAAAGGTCAGACAGTATAAGAAGACAAACCAAAAGTTGCTTCTGCAATTAAACGAGAGCAAGTTGAGGATTCATTCACAGATTTCGAAGCTTTCGGGCTTTCACCATTGCTTCGTTTGTGGGCGGAGCCGGAAACCTAAAATATTCGAAGGCTTTGGAACTCTGGTCTCTCTCTCTCTCTCTCTCTCTCTCTCTCTCTCACAACGATATGCAGAGCAGCATCGACTTAGCATTTGTTAAGATGAAGTCACTGTCAATGTTTTATGTACGTGAGAAAAGTTCAATTCATGATTTTCACTCACTACTCAGCCTTGACATCTGGGCTGCGCACTGAACAACAACCAGCTAAGAACAAGAGGCCCTGCACCCAAGAAGAAACAAGAAGGACCCCGAGAGCAAGTTTATTGACCCCAAGAGCAACATAAGCAGTGCTTGATCCTCTCACTACTTGGAATTTGACTTCATCTATGGTGTAAGTTAATCAACGCGAGGATTGTCATAGAGAGGAAGTTGACTGCTTGCAGAAATCCATCTAGATCTATTTGAAGTGTTCAAACAAACTGATCAAATACCACTTTTTATCTTCACCCTTCTCTCTCTTCCTCATGGTGAATCAGCCAAAAAGCAACCACTGCGCGAAGTACAATAGTACAAGCACGACACTTAGCAAGTGTCCCCTGTTCGCAAGAAACACCCTTTTGATTCTTCTCGCGTTCGACCACCCGTGAGCCCCCTGAAAACCATTGATATTCCCTAAAAGACCCCAAATTTGGACCGACTCCTCCACGTCTCTCTCTCCCTCTTTGTCCCACACAGAGCGACTACTGAATCAGCGAGAGAGTTTGACCAGTGTAAAATCAAGGCCCAGGAGGAGAGCAAATCACTTACCTGGACGGGGTCAATGGGCGATCACGAAGGCTCATGGGCTGGGCCTAGTGACTTCCATTGCACTCTGGAGGGGTGCTAGCACAAGGTCGGCCCAAGTGGCCGAGCCTACGTCGTAATTTGTGGCAGCGGGGGCCTGCGTTAGCGCGGCCTCTACCCAATTCTGTAGTCCCAATATTTTACTTGCTTGAGGTGCCCTTGGTCTCTGTTTATGTCCCCTGATTCTGCTTCATCGGCAGCGTCGTCTCTGCTGGTTTTAGGAATGATAAAGGAAGTAGGTCTTCTTTCGCTACCAGAGTTCAGCAACAGAGAAATCGTAGTTTTTGTCTTGCGATGGAGATAGTAGACCCATCGGCCGTGAGTCTCAGTCCGCATGTGACGACCAGGTCACGAGGTTCCTGAGATGGAAGACGTTGACTTCCAGAGAGGAGGCCCTGGCCACCATTAGGGACGTCTGCATACCCGCAGCCTTGGCGCCCCGCAGTATGCGTCGGGGACCGCTGTTCGGGTTCATCTCCGTCTGCCCCGGGTCAGGGGACAACAGGTGCCGGGCGGACATCAGGTACGGCGTGGCCAGGGAGTGGTGGGGGAAGGGTCTGGCAACCCAAGCAGTGAGAATGGCACTGTCCCAGGTGTTAAACTTATAACACTTTTGTCAATTCAGTACTAAACTTATCAATTTTGCTAATTGAGTCTTACACCTTTTTTACGTATTATCAATTGAGTCAATCCGGCCAATTTAAGCCGGAAAATAACTGATGTGCACACCAACCTTCTCACGTAACGCAATCGGGACTGACGTAGATAATTTTTTTTAATATTTTAATTTCTTTTCGAATTATTTATTTATTTATTTTCTTTCCTTCTTCCTCCTCTAACCGGTTGCCAGGCCTCATCGATGGCTATCGAAGACGACCTCGCCATCGCTAGCCCTTGCCGGGCCCTAGTGATGCTTGACCTCACCGTCACTAGGCGAGGTCCAGCCTAGTGGCCGGTGGGGTGAGCTTCGCCAGAGGTTGGCAAGGTGGGCAAGGTGCCTCGCTGGCCTTCGCCTCTGGCCGATCGCCATATGTCGGTGACCGGCTAAAGGAGGAAGAAGGGAAGAAAAAATGAAAGAAAAGAAAAAAGAAATAGATAATTCCAAAAAAATAGAAATATTATTAAAAATTAGGGAAAAAACCACCAAAAACCCCAAACTTTGCCATCTGTGATACATTTACCCCGAACTTTTTTTTGTGACACCAAAAACCCCGAACTTTGCTTTTTGTGACACATTTACCCCAATGTATTTAGTCCATGGGCATTTTCGTCTTTTCGCTTTTTCTTTTTTTTTTCTTTTTTTTCCTTTCCGGTGAGGGGGCCTCGCCGCGTGGCTCGCCGGATCCGAGCGAGGGGCCCTCGCCGGCGCCGAGCGAGGGCGGCCCTCGCCGGCGTCGGCGAGGTTCGCCCTCGCCGGGCGAGCGGGCGGCCCTCGCCCGACTCAGCGAGGTCGACCCTCACCGGCGTCGAGCGAGGGTCGACCTCGCTGAGTCGGGCGAGGGCCGCCTCGCTCGCCCAGCGAGGGCGACCCTCGCCGGCGCCGGCGAGGTCCGCCTCGCCGGGCGAGCGAGGCGGCCCTCGCCCGATCTGGCGAGGTCGACCCCGCCGCGCCGAGCAAGGGCGGCCCTCGCCATCCGGCGCGGAGGCCTCGCCCGACTCGGGCGAGGTCGACCTCGCCCGACGCCGGCGAGGGTCGACCTCGCCCGAGTCGGGCGAGGCGGCCCTCGCTCGCCCAGCGAGGGCGAACCTCGCCCGACGCGCGGCGAGGGTCGCTGGGCGAGCGAGGGCCGCCTCGCCCGACTCAGCGAGGTCGACCCTCGCCGGCGTCGGGCGAGGGCCGCCCTCGCTCGCCCAGTGAGGCGAACCTCGCCCGACGCCGGCAAGGGCCGCCCTCGCCGGATCCGGCGAGGGCCCCCTCGCCGGATTCGGCGAGGCCGACGCGGCGAGGCCCCCTCACGGAAAGGCAAAAAAAGAAAAAAAAAGAAAAAGCGAGAAAAGACGAAAATGCCCATGGACTAAATACATTGGGGTAAATGTGTCACAAAAAGCAAAGTTCGGGGTTTTTGGTGTCACAAAAAAAAGTTCGGGGTAAATGTGTCACAGATGGCAAAGTTTGGGGTTTTTGGTGGTTTTTTCCCTAAAAATTATTCACACTAGTGCCGTCCGCGCCACATGAGATGTCTGGCACTAGGGGTGTCAGAACTGAACCGAAAATTTTGTGCATTTCAGTTTGGTTTCGGTTTCGGTTCGAATAATCAAAATTAACCAAATTTTTTTTTCAATTCGATTTATTAGGTTCGGTTCGGATCAAACCGAACTAAGATAAACGCTTCAGTTTTTACCCTATCTCACCCTCGCTTTTAGCTTTAGGGCTATCTCGAACATTTTGCTTTTAGCTTTAGGGTTATCTCGCCCTCGCTGCATCTGCCTCTGCTCGTTAGCAAAGTCTCTGAATTCAACATTGCGCTGCCTCTATTGAAGCAAATAGTAAAGGCAATTACGACTCCTGGCGATCGATACTTGCCGGAGAAAGCAAAGCAGATCAGGACCAACAGCGGGGGAGTTCAACCTTTCAAACAACAACCCCCTACCCCACAACCAAAAAAAATAAAAAAAAAAGAGAGAAGGTGGGGGGGGGGGGGGGCGGCAAAGAACGCACCGGATCGCCGGCGGAGAGGTCTAGGGAAGCCGAAAGTGACGAGCGTTTGGTTCAAGTACCGAGCACTAGGGTGTAAACGGTTCGGTTCGGTTTGATTTTTTTGAAAAACCGAACCGAACCGAACCGTTAATGATACAACCTTGAAGCGAACCGAATTTCGCTCGAACCAAATATGAATCAAACCGAAAAATCAGTTAATTCGGTTCGGTTCGGTTTGGTTCAGCTCAATTTTCGATTTTCTATTATTTTTTCTGAAAGTGTGGAGAGGCGGAGGAGGGCATTCAGACCCAGTTGCTTTCGCCCACTTCTCTCTCCCACAGCCCCCTCCCCTTTTTTCTTTTTTCTTTTTTCTTCTTTCTTTGGTACCCTCAGTGACGCAAGCGAGAAAGCAAAGCAAGAAAAGGGAAGCCCAAGAGGCACCACTACCACTTCCTCTGTTTCCTCCTCTTCATCATCTGTCTCCCCATGCTCGCACGCTCTCGCGCTTGGCAAATCTTGATCCTTCTCAAGATGGGTCTCTCTATCACTTGATCCCTCCACCGCCCTTTGCCTTCCTTTGCTTTCTCATGCTAGTTGTGGGTTAAATCTTATTGGGTATTTCTGTTTTTTGGGTGCTCTGTTTTTCCATATGGGTGTCCGAGATTCGCTGTGATGGTCGTCGCCGAAACCGAAACCGAAACCGAAACCAAAACCGATGCACACATACTCCGATGCAAACGAGGTAAGATACGAGCACGGATCGACCAGAACGGCAACTTTTCCCACCTGCGCTCGTGAACCCACATCGCATCCACCTTGAATCCGAGCCATTTTGTCCGAGTTCTCCTTGTCGATCACGGGAACTCCAGAATCTCGCTTGTTCGAGCGCCACTTTTGCTAGATCTTCGCCGGCTCTTCGCCGCGAGGCCGCCATTGCAGAATGCCGCACGGCCACAACGTCCAGGTGCCGGCACGGCGGGGAGAGGGGCTGAGCTGAGCAGCGCCGAGGGAGCGAGAGAGAGGATTTAGCCCTTTGTGGTTTTAGCCCTTTTAGCTTTAGGGTAAAAACCGTAGGTCATTTTCGGTTCGGTTTCGGTTTGATCCGAACCAAACCGAAATAAACCGAATTGAAAGAAAAATAATGATTTCTTTTGTGTATCCGAACCAAAAACCGAACCGAACCAAAATGCACAAAATTTCCGATTCGATTTTTCGGTTCGGTTCTGACACTCCTACCGAGCGCAGTGCTCCAAGTTTCCGGCATCGGCGAACGCGTACTCCCTGCACCGAGAGCCCCCAAAAAGAACAAAAGGAGGTGAAAAAAAAAAAACCCATCAACGCTCGCGACGCGTGGAGGCGAAAACACGCAGCAAGGGTGGCGGAGGGGAGGGAGGGAGGTACCTGGCGGAGAAGGCGAAGTGGGGCGACGGCCGGCAAGAGAAATGTAGAGAGAGAGGAAGGAAGGGGGGGGGGGGGGGGAAGTGGAAATGGAGGAGACGGGGGTGGGTTTACTTTGAGATCGAACTAGGTGTCAGTCGCCGCCATTACTGGAGGCGAGAGCAGCTCCGACGGAGAGGAGAGGAGAGAGAGAGTCTCTTTCAGAATAGATTTGCGAAGGAAAAAGGAAGTCTGAAAAAAAAAAAAAAATG